GAACCAGTCGTTCAGTTTTTCACGCTGTGGATCAGTTTCGCCTGGGGTATCCTCTATCTGTTCTTCTCCAGCGTGGTCCAAACATACAGCACCAACTATGGCTGGGGCGTATTGGCCACCGGTCTGGTTCAGCTAGCCATCTCCGTCGGGGCCGTCATCGCCACTGCCATCAATCCCTTCCAGGACTGGCTCTACCTGCGTTCTGCGCAGCGAAATACCGAGAGGCCCGGCCGTCCCATTCCTGAGGCTAGACTGTACACTTCCATCCCCGGTAGCTTACTGTTCACCGCCGGCCTGTTCTGGTATGGCTGGGCCAGTCAGCCCGACGTCCACTGGATTGTTCCCACGATTGGAATCACAGCTGCTGGCATTGGAATCTACGCGATTTACATGGGTGTTGTGAACTACCTGACGGACGCATACGAAAAATACGCTGCTTCGGCATTGTCAGCTGCGTCCTTGGGGCGAAACTCATTCGGAGCCTTCCTTCCGCTTGCGTCGCCGCAGTTGTTTAGTAATCTCGGTTTTGGATGGGCCGGTTCATTACTGGGGTTTATTGGAGCTGCTCTATCGCTTGTGCCTGTCGTTCTGGTGCTCAAGGGGCAGCAGATTCGGAGGAGGAGTCCGTTCATGCGTGAGTCCACGTGGGATCCAGAGGAGACGAGCGAGAGGGATGAGAATGGGGCTGAGAAGGGCTCCGATGTTTGATTCATGAATAGATTTGAATTGGTCAGTATTATGTGGATGGTATATGTAGAGTCACGTGAGAAGTGATGATTACCATGGTGATATAAATCCCTGGGACACCATCTCGCTTCTCAAAAGGGAAAGGCGAGAAGTCTGAGGTGGAAGTGGTCTGATGAGCTGATGACGCAGTATAAACCTGATAGATTATGCATGACGCTCTAGTCTACGTTAGAAAGCTATGTACATATTTATATTGTGTTTGAGTCTATATGCCTTTCTATGCATGAGTCGTCTCCCACCTACTGGACAATCCGCTTCTCCTTCACCAGATGCAGCCTTCTCGTCCACTTCGCCTTACTCTTACGCATCGCTCTCTGCGTCCTCTCCCAAGGATAGTTCACCGGGCTTTCTCCCCCGGTAAAGATCATGAAATCGTACAGGAACGCCCCAATGAACGAACCGGTCAAGGATCCTGCCCACGGCCCATAGAACCAGTACGGATTCGTGAACAGCTCTCCCCCGTATCCCAGCGCAAGCAGCGCCAGCCGCGGCCCAAAGTCTCGGCTGGGGTTGAATGCCGCGCCTGTCTGATAGGAGAATGTCATGCTGAGACACGCAACGACGAAGCCGATGATGAGCGAGTTCATGCCTGCCCCGGGGGGAGCGTTCTGATCGTCTCCCAGTGCTAGGACCGTTACGGTGAGACACACCGTGCCGAGGAATTCATTGAAGAAGGCTGTCGCGGGCCCGATCCAGGTTTGGCGCTGGTTGGTGATGAAGCTGTTGATGATATCGGTGGGTGTGTTGGTGGACAGGTAATGCTGGATGGAGTGGTAGTACAGCCCGTAAACCGACAGCGCGGCGATGAAGGCGCCCAGGTACTGCGCCGCGAAGTAAGCCGGCATCTTTCTCTTGGGAAATCCGCGGTAGAACCACAGCATGATCGTGATGGTTGGGTTGAGGTGTGCACCAGACACACCACCGGAAATGTAGATGGCCATCATAGCGGCGAATCCCCACGCCCAGGCTGTGGTGTTGGGGTTCCCTGTGCCGGTCAGTGTCACGGACAAATCCGCTGACAGGCCCACGGTTAGCTGGACAAAGACCGCCAGTGCCTCGGCGAGTTCCTCGCGGTGGTGCGTACGGATGACAGACCAGGTCGTGTGGTTATTGTGCACTTCCTCCTCGACAAGCTCCTGGACGAGCGGGTGCAGGTCTTCTGGGTACGCCGCATGGTCAAGCGTAGAAAAGTCGGTCATGTCATCCTTGTCCTCGAGCTCATCCTCGTGCTCGTGGTCATGCTCGTGATCGACTACATGCGGCTCGAGCTCCTCGGGCACGGGCTGCAGAGGTTCAGTAGTGAGCTCCTGCTGCGCCTGGGGAGACTGCGGCTGGGCGGGGACTTCGGGCTGCGTCTCCGCCGGATGCTCACCTTCCTCTAAGGTCGATAACTGGTCCACGGGCGCCTCCAGGTTCGAGGGACGCCGCATACGAGTAGACGAAGTACGCGATAACCGCCGAGTAGACGCGGCCTCCCCGGTCAGTATCTTATTGACAAAGTTATTCTCCCGCTGCACACGCGCATCCTCCACCTGCGCGGCCATCTTGCGCGGATCCGCGGTCTTCTCGATCTGCCCAGCCTCAAGATCATTAGGATCAACCTCCAACCCCATCTTCTGCGAATTCTCCGCCGGCAACTGGGCATTCGCACGCGCCTCCAATAGTTCCTCCTTGGTGGGAACCATGCCCGGCCGCACCACTCGCGGCAGGGGCTTTGCCAAACTCCATACTGGCTTTGCGTTGGCGGGCTGCTCGTAGGCAGGATTGAGTTCTGTGTAGCCAGGATGCACAAAGGGTTCGTGAGCGAGTCTAAGCTGAGGTGTTTCCTCTGGACCGGCTAGAGTGAATTTCCCTTGTGTTCGCTGCGCCAGCGTGGTGCGGGATGTGAGGCTGGGCACTCCGCTGCGTCGAGACGCGGCCGTGCTTCGTCGCCGGATGCCAGAGTTGGCTGGTCCTGGCGGTTCCGGGCCTTCCAGGGCAGAGGCCCGTCTTGTGGGTGAGATGAAGTCCGCACGACCGGCTGCTGGAGTGCTCCTAGTGGGTGATGGAGCTACTTCTGTTGGATCCCTTAGTCGTCTTGTTGCTTCAGACTATTTGCCGTCAGTATATTCGTCGTACTCATCAACGAATTCTGTAGTTTTACGTACCTTCGCCCGCGGGCGTCTCGGAGATCTGTCGTCCATATTGCCTCACTTCTCAATCGTTCCAGTCACGCCAATCTGAGTATCAGTTGGTATATCGAACAGGTAGTAAGTACACAAATGACAAAAATATCTACTGAGGAAGGAATTGACTTTCCCACGCGCTGAAACCTCGGTTAAACCACAGCACCGGATGACAGACAACTTGCGCAATCCCATTGCTTACAGGTTACTTAATACCGCAAAGGCGAAAGATCGACCCTGTCTCTTGTTTGTCGTTGAATTGTGGGCTCATGGCGTAATGTGTGGATCTTATCTGGGTCCTCGGCAGCAGATCAGTCAAATTAACGTTCAATATCGTTGATTCTCCGGGCGTGTCGATCCAATTGGGTAACCTATCAACAATTCCAACAGCTTTGCGACCCACATTACATCACAATGGATATTGCTATCTGGTTTGCTGGTGGGTCGTTTTCGTGAAATTTGTTATGTTCCTGATGAGCCAAGTACAGCCCATGGATATATCCGCAATTCTCTTTCTTCCACCAATGATATTACTGTGCCTCAATAGATTGAGATAAATAATTGATGCCATTGGATAGCGGGTAAATGATGTCATACCCGTTCAGCATACAGAATTTAATGCGAACATATACATTTGCACTTGATCAAGCATCATTTGGTGTTTCCTTGGCACCCACAGTGACTGGAGACCTCGAAGGCAATGCAGTCCCTTCTCCCTCTTTTCCGCGCTTTTCCCGTTGCCTCCGACGTATCCGGCCACATATAACACACTCGAGTATCGCAAACAACAAACGAGACACGCTACACCGTCAGCCAAATCCATAAACCAGAGGAGAAACATACGGAAATGCAATCATCAACATGAATGTCTGGTCCAATGTGTCCCTCCACGGATGCGGATAATCAGACGGGGCATCGCCCAGACTCCAATCGCCAAAGACCACCTGCAGGCATCCAATAACTCCCAGAATTATTGATATGACGTTACCGAAAATCAGCCAGCCTACGTGCAGCCGCTTGAGGGTGAATGAGGCGTCTAGAAGACCGCATACTTCGATCAGGTCGACGACTATCGCAGCCGATATCTGCAGGGTCAGATATATCCATAGATGATGTGTCGGTCGCTTACTGAGAAGATGGCAAAATAGAATGTGTGCTTCTCGCCCCAGTGAGTCGCGAGATATAACAGGTAATAGAAACATGCAATGCTGAGCGCTAGCCCACCCAGCCTGATGGCCAGGTGAATGAAGGCCGGGACTTGTGGGACTCGTGATCGAGGCATCCTGCAATTCGGAGAGGATGTCACATATCGACGAATACTGTAATAAATCCTACGTTCTCCTTCTGGGGATGTCAGAGGTTTTGTGTCTGCACTGCGTGTGAACTACATTGCTGTGGCTTAGACCCTGAGCTACAAGAACTTGTACCTTGTCCGCGATATCCTCAGTGAAACAGCAGCCAATTTTGGAGGGTCATTGGCTCTATGATTCGGCTAACGGTGCCTTGGCCAGTCAAGTGTGATGCTAATATAAGTCTGCTTCGTTATAGGCTGCGCACACAATTGCCAAGGCCGGTGGACATGATTCGAGCCAATTGCACGATCGTTGGCGTTGACTGTCTAGAGGCTCAAGCTAAGACTTGTTCTGGACTATAACTGTCAGAGGCTATCCGTTTGGCGGTCCATAGTGGAAGCCATGCTGAACCCTTTAACACTCTGCTGTCGTACAAGTCAACAGGAAATCAAGTTTCGACTCCCCTGGGAGTATTAGACTGTGGCCCTATATACAATCGAAGACCAATCACTCGTTACCCCTACGTTATCGCCGTAATGATCCATGACACTTCGGCTAGCGCGCTGCATGTCTTACTTTTAAGTGCGACGTAATTTGTCGACTTACCTCGAGCTACGTAGCCGCATTTGATGCTAACTACAGGGCACACGATGTAACGTCGCTAAGTATACGGAAGCCTTGTCCCAAACTGAGATAATCCATACCTCATGCACCTTGCTCTTCTGGAGTGTACTCAACACCCAGGCCTCAAGCTTAAGACGGTTGTCACGCATTCATTTCGCACTGTTTATGCATCATGGCATATACACAAGCCGAGCTAACCGGCTACTTCGACCGTGTTAACCTACCTAACGACATCCGCGATGCCCTATTAGCGGGTAGCAACCGCCTAGAGGCGCTAACCTGTCTTCTCCATCACCATCTGGCCGCTGTTCCCTTCGAAAATACAGTTCTTCACTATACCGCCGACCGCCTCCTAGTTCTTAGCCCGTCGTTAGTATATAAGAAGATCGTTCGGCGCCGACAAGGCGGGACCTGTTTCCAGATCACTCGCTTATTCGGCGAAGTGTTGCTGGCCCTGGGGTTTGAACTGTACATGAGCGGAGCACGGACGAACAGATCGGCCAGCGTGGCAGCGCAAGACAAGAACCCTGGCCGCGGGAAATTTGGAGATTGGTATTTCTTTCTCATCGTCGGTGCTTTTATGTTCTGACAGTAAAAGGCAACATATGATTATCATCGTCCGGATAGATGGGAATAGATGGGAATGACTACCTCGTGGACGCAGGATTCGGCCCGAATGGCCCGGTTGGCCCTGTCCTGCTTCGAGATGGACTCGAATTTACTGACGGTGACGGGAATCTCGGACGACGAGGCAGACTTGTTCATGCCCCGATTGACCAGGGTCGTGCCAGACATCTCAAGTACTGGCGGCTGCAGTTCCTGTCTGGCAGCAGCCCAGATTGGGTGGACGTATATGCCTTCACGGAGAGCGAGTGGCTTGAAAGTGATTACCAAGCTGTAGAGCGTGCGGTTCGGGGTAACAAACGAGCTTGGTTTATGTACCGAGTGATTGCATTTCAGATCGTCCTGAAAAACAGGAGACCCGTCGGATGGGTGATGATTTGGGATGACGCTCTGAGTTGGTTCCAAGGAGGCAAATTGTCACGGCGAATAAGGTTCAGATCTGAAGAGGAGAGGATTAATGCGCTAGAGAGTGTGTTCGGGATTAAGCTGGAAAATGAAGAGAGGAAAGAGATTGTTGGGACAGTAGCATTCCTATGTGCGAAAGCAAAGATTTAGACATTAAACAGAAAAGTGTCTACTATATCAAAGTCTAGCTCCATCTATTGCTAGAAAAGAGACCTGCTACTAAGCCAAATGTAGTTTAGGATCAAGCATTTGGCGAGGCGGGGTAGATCTGTCGTTAATATACGAGCCAGTATTTCCAAGGCCGTGCAACTGGAACTTTCTCTCCACACAGGACCTAGAAAACTCAGATTATCTGTTCCCTGCAACTTCATCCAGCTTCCTCCTTCCAATCCGGCCACTCAAAGTTTCATCATGGAGGGTCGTTGTCAATGTGGAGCCATCCGATTTACTACACCACTTCCAGCACCTTACAAGATATACGCCTGCCACTGCACTGAATGCCGTCACCAGTCGTCATCTTACTGTGGCATAACAGCCGTCTTCCCATGGTTTGAAATACCAATGGTCAATCCAGATGGCACTGCGAGAATCGGTACCTATACTCGGCGAACCTTGAAAGGTAGAGAGCTGGAATGTTTATTTTGCTTGTCATGCGGATCACGACTTATACATCGCACTCATGGAGAGGACACCCTAAGCGTGAAAGGTGGCTGCCTGGAGGCTCTGACGCGGGAAATGATGGCGAAAGCTGTGCATATTTGGTGCAAGGAAGCGGTGATGGAGATACCACCAGGCGCAGAATGCTGGCAGGAGGAGCCGGAAGATTAGCAGTGTTTCAGCATCTGCGTGAAGTTCTGGATTCTGCTGGTAAATCATAAAGTCAAATCTAAGGTCCTTCATGAACTACAAGCGGACTAGAGCTGCAGGATATGATAGGTTCCGATGTATCAGTATTATTAAAGAGCCAGTATCACACAGCTTAAATACATCATGATCTCGTGATCGTAAGAAGATTCCGTTGCATGCATTCGAAGAACGCCTATAGCAGACCCACAGCAACCCTCATCATTGCGGCTACGTCAAGGCGAATGTCCTGTTGACCGAGGCCTGGAGCTCGATCAAGTAGTGCCTGGTAATGGATATGAATGGGGAAACTTCCGGTAGCGTTGGTTGGTGTAATGGTAGCTGTCTGCGCTATGAACGGGTGCTGCTTGACTGCCTACTGGAGTCCGAGGGGCGACATTGGCGGTATGGTCATCTGCTGGATGCGCAGAGCCTGCTGTGGAGTGACATGCTGACCGGGAGGGCTCAACTGCCACTTCTCCAACAGAATGGTCCGTCTGGTCCGTTTAATGCTGAGCAGAATCACGGTGCGCACAGCCCCTTCGGAGTTCTCGAACCACCACCTCGCGTCTTGACGGAGCCTGGTCAAGGACTCGGAGACGCCGGTCCCAATCACCAGCGAAGGCCAACGTTGCGGCTGATTTTGTCCGGCCTGTCGGATTGGTGGTATGAAACAATCATCCGCTTCTTTTCCCCTGTTTGCAGCCACTGTGGGCCTGTGAGTTGCGTTTGCGCCCCATAAGATATCGTCCATCGACGTCCCAGCCAAAAGTGCTGCGAAAATGTTGTCGCGGAGACGTGAAGTCGCAAATCCATGAGGATGGGACGGGACAATCTTGATCAGCGCAGTGGTTCCGTCAAACATCAACCGAAAACTTAATGCCCTGCAAGACATTCTTCTGTTCATCTAGTTGACTGCGAATGGCTCGAGGCAGATTAAGGGCAAGGATATACTGATTTCCTGCGTCACCATTCTCGCTCAGTCTGTCAAGTACCCTCTCCGCCTCAATATTCAGTCTACTGAGACTGGTAAAGCGATGGGTGACGTAGTCGTCTGGCAGTCCGGACGTGATACTCAATGACTCCATAATTGTAGACAGTGCTGATGAGGAGTTGATTGCTCACATGGCGCCTTCGGTCTCGCTGAAGATGGATGCCATAATCAACAATCTGAAATCTGTAAAGCAGAGAGAATGGTTTGAAGGAAGAAGACCGAGGGCACGAAGAAAGAAGATCGAGGGTGTGATGAAAGAAGATCGTTATGAAGGAAGAAGATCGGGGGTATTTATGATAAGGGTTCCCAGCACTTACCGTTGTCGTTATGATTCTATTCACTGTTGGATACTCGGAGAACTCGGCACTTACCGGTATTCTTATGGTTCGATTCACTGTTAGATACCTCCTCGTTAGGTGCATCTAAATCCTCGCCTTTCAGAAACGAAATAGTCAATGGGTGCCATTCCAATTCGGAGAGATTAAGCACTGTGCAAAGGCGTTCAGCACCGGTTTCTGCCACGATTGCATTGCGGACAAGCTACGAGTGGGCAGTTGTGCCTTATCACCTTCCCTGGAGTTTGTCCACTCCTTATCTCTCTTTAAGTTCGAGATCATGTCCAACAGGCTGATCCGATTTGACTAGCCGAGCACCCTCTTCCATGGGCGTTGCTGCGGTTTTGACTGAATACGGATCTTCAGTAGGTTGGCGATTAACGTATTCTGTTTTGAGCCGAAAGCTTGGTGCTAATATTTCGATTTTCGTTTCAACAAGTTCTGTAAATATAAGCTATGGATTACAGCCAGGGGAGTGAATGATCAATGTTGCATCTGGGAAGTGAAAGAAATCAAATTTTCTGGATGATGTTAGCACTATATATGACAGGGCGAGCCACACATAGTGGGCTAGAAACGAAATCTGCTGCCTAGGTAAGTTTAAGGAATGGCTTTTAAAACCATGGGTGGACGATGAGATAATGCAGCCACTACAGTGTCATATCGGAAAGCTAAGTATACATCATTTGATGATGATGGGTTCCTTAACACAATCGCACGCCAGGAGCCAAGTAAAGGTTTGACTCTACGCGTGCATACCTGGCAAACTAGAAACCATTGCCTCCCAGACTTGTATTCCTTCAGTCGGACCATTCGAGACCACTGGCATCTTCGACACTACTGTACTCTGTTAGACTGGGTGCTTCAAGAGCTTGTGCCAGCGCTGCAGCGCGATTAAGGATCTTGTAAATTGTCGATATAATATCCACCTGCTGTCCTTTGTCCCACCTCATGATACAGCCTGAATACTACTCAAGTCAATATCTTGCAAGTGTAGTTTCAGCGGTCGGTTGAACAGCTCACCCGAGATTGCTTGTCGATGCACAAAAAGCGCCACTCGTCGGTATCAGTAACGATTCCATATACTATAGTATCGTTGCGACCAGCTCTCCTCCTTGCATGGTGCAGTATCGCTGTCATAGTTTAATCAGCAAACTCTTTTGTTGAGTCAGTACCACATACCCATAGAACATAATGCCTGATATCTGCCAATGTTCCCTCGACGCGATGCACAAAAAAATAGCAGGTTTGTCTCCCCTTTTTGTCCCCCGTACCAAAGTGAGTAGTCTGTCGCGCCCTCTAACATGTAAGCCCTATTCTGATAGGACCACGGCAAACTTAAAGTCTTCTCGAATTGAAGATGGAGGGATCCGTAAGCTGAGGCGGACTCGCGCTTCTTGCTTGCGAGGACTGCGACAAGAATTGTCTCAAGTCGGGATCTCATAATTGCTTTGTTCTCACTATCTCTACCTGCAGCACGCCAATAGCCCGACAGGATCGACCCTATACTAGCGTTAGGCCAGAAGTTGGCCTTCTGGCTGTATCGCGCGGTAGGTGCGAGTACCTACCTAAGTATTCAGGCCCTTGAACCTTGTTCTGCGCTGTCAACTGCCAGCGAGCACTAAAATTTCCATCCGGCTGGATGCGTAGGAACGCACGCACATCTTGGGGTCTTATGTCGGCAATAGAGATATGTGGTAGATCCTGTCTTTCTGAGGTGACAGGCTTTTTCCCTTTCTGGGCAACAGTCCTAGGCACTACTGGCGCTATGTTGATGTCAACTTTGCTCTGCATGGGCGAAGGTGATGCAGAACTCCTGCGTATGTGATTCTTCAATCTTTCGAAATAATCCATTATTTCAGTCGACTATCTTGGTGGAGTACGGTAATGGATAGAGTTTGTAAATGTTGGGGTCAGGACAGGGTAATGAAATCGAAGACGCAGATGTGATGTCAATGCAGAGGCTCCTGCTGCCTATCATACATAATCGGGCTCGAAATGCCTGCAATAGTATTTAGAATCTTTTGAATATAGTCGGTTATACAATTCGGCGCTCTCTATTTCCTAAATGCGGCAATTCTCTAGAGTTCTTGACCTGCTAGTCGAAAACCATACAGCCAGTCATCTGGCTCACGGTCATTTTCCGTCGGTTCATTTGAGCTTCTGATATAGCAATCTCAATTTCCTGCTTTACGATCTTGCCAATCTGGCTGACGATCTCTTCTTGTTGACCTTTTGTCCAGTCCAACTGGAGTGACGAGTACTTTGCATATCTTTCGTCAGCTTCCTATGTCATCTAGAGCATAGAGCATAGACGTACCTGACTTTTGCTGTTGAGGTGCAAGAACGTCCATTTGTAACTATCTGTGCAGATACCATATATTTCCGCGTTCCTCCCGGTTTTCTTTCGTGCGTAGTGAATTATTGCTGAGCAGTACGTGTTAGCAGGAAGATACGCTAAGGAGACATGCTCTCAAGAGCAATATGAAACTTACACATAGCTGCAAGTGGTGTCCAACACTCATCCTCCATTAGCACGTCGCTTCGGTGAACGATGAAGTTGGTCTCGAGGTCTTGTCGGCTCCCATACCATAGAGCGTAGTCAATCGTGCAGCCCACGATGTAACTACAACCCTCAAAGTCATGAGCTATACAGAGTCTGTGTCGGGATCCCCAGGAAACTGTGTCCAGGATGGCAGACATTCCGAATCTACTGGATTGAGATCCACCTCGCATATTTCTATTCTCTGACCTTTGTCGCGCTTCTTTTACCACAGATAAGATTTGGATTAGGATCAAATCCAGTCTCGGGCGGATGAGCTTAGCATTTGGAGACTCGACACCTAGCGCGAGGTTATAATCATCTAGGAGCATTTCTGGTATTCGTTAGCGACCGGAAGCCCCGTTAGAGCTCAGGAAATACACTCACCGAGAGAGTTAGTCATTTTGAGTCTCTCATCTCGTCCAATATGCCACGTGCTTCTTTTCCTCCACCAGCTACTTGGAGAAATTACCGTAGCCCCAAGGAAGTCATCAAGAACCTCGCTCTCCTCGTCCTTGTCGTTGTCTGATTTCGAACCGGAGCGCATCGGTTGCATCGTCTCGACTTTGACATGTCTCGGCGGAAGTAGATTCCGCAAAGTTGATATATTTTCTATTCGGGTAGCCGCCTTCCATAAGAGTCCAGGGTCTCGCTCCATGGGTTCCAGGTCTAAGAGCCCTACATTACTCCGTGCTGACATACAGTACCAAATCTTGGAGTCGAACGCAACTTTTGGGACAAACTGTTTGCATATGTGGTCGAGCCACACCAATCCTCACTCCCTAACAACCTTGGCTCGCTGAGGCTGCTCCCGTAAAGCATATTTACCACGCTCAATAGCTTCATCAACGAATTCCACCCACGGTAATGGATAGAGATTGCCTTGGAATCTCCCAATAGTGTGCATTATCATAATAGAACGGGCAGTATAAAGTGAAATGAGATTTCAAGATTACCATCATTCTTAATCCATAAAGCGGTGGCATACAGAGCCCTCGGCAAATCACAAACTGCAACCACCAGAGTCACTAATATTCCTGTCTGAAGCGACCAGATCCCGCATTGTGGCTGGCGCTAAACATAGCCACCACCCAGCTGAACAGAGGTAAGCCTCGCAAGCCGTAATCGTGGCAGGGTCTGCAGGGGTTGTGCCCCCGGGTTACGGCTCAGAAATCAGAATCCTCCCTTTTATAGCGGTTAGGGCGGCTTTTTCAATGGTATTCGATAATAGTACAGGGGCTCATCATGATCCACAGTTCTTTAGGACCACTAAAAGCCTGAGAGCTTGTATATTTTCTTTGCAGTAATTTGAGCCGTTGCTGAACTGCTGCATGTCGTTGACGGCCCCGCACAAGGCTAAGCGCCGAATCCCTTCCCAATCAGAATGTTGCCTAGTCTTGACAAAAGTCCATTCGAAATCAGATATAAGGCTCTTTAATCCCCAAAGCCTCATAATTTAAAGAATGGCATTGTATCCATGGCCAACACCACAACAACATCGTCGGGTTGGGTCAACGAACCCGACGGGCGCGGAACATGGAGCATCCTCTCGACATGTCTGCTAACCATCATTCTATGCTGCTGGACATCCGTCTGCCCCAACATCCCGGCTAAATCAGATGGATACTGGGCCCGCTTACGGGATAAATTCCACCTTGCCTGTATGGGGATCCTGGGCCCGGAATTTCTTTTAATGTTAGCAATGGGACAGTGGTCGTCAGCTAGGAAGTCGGTTAAGGTGTGTTTTCCACCACAAGCCTGCATGGTTCTAATAGCTGTAGGAGTTTAGCAGGTTGAATGAGAAAAGAGGGAAAGGGGAGTGGACGATGACGCACGCGTTCTATGCAGATATGGGAGGGTTTCTTTTGGAGGGCCATGGGGTTGAGACTCCCTTTCCGGTTGATGCGGCGCAGTTGCTTTTTCTGGTTGAGCAGGGATATGTGGAGTATCCAGAAATAACTCGGGATGATATCGGTGATAGAAACAAGTCAGATGGGTTTGCGAGGTGGGTTTTCATTTTGATCTTCATTGGGGTGAATGCGCTGCTGCTGATGACGATGCTGCAGATTTATCGCAGTGTCTCAGGCGGTTTGGTTGCTCCTCAATTGCATCCTGCGCGGTGCCCAGGGTCTTGCTTTGACAACGCTGGAGCTTACTACGATCTCCTTTGTCATCGTCTTCTTCGCAACATCGTTTTGCTGGTTCTACAAACCGCAAGATATAACCAGTACGACTACCGTAACTCTTGCGGCAGATATCAAAAGTATCCGGAAAAAGGTAAACCAACGCCTCTTCTACAGGAGAAAATGCACTGACCTTGAGGAAAAGCACTGTCCTGCAGAACTCGAAGAATGGTACACAAATCCTTTGGATTTCCTTCATCCAAACCTCTACGTCTGCCACGTCTTCTGGCGCTACTTCAACCAGATTCTCCGCCGGATCCACTGTCCCATCTTCTCCCGTCCCGTCACCAGTAAACCTTACAACCGCATACCAAGCGACAGTTTCCCGCATCTGGATACGCTAGCTGATGCCCTCGCTTGTCCGATCGTCCTCCTCTTTGGTAGCATGTTTATGATCGCTTGGAGCTTTGACTTCCCCTCATCCCTCGAGCGAATCTTGTGGCGCATCGCGTCCTGCTATACACTGTTATTCTCCATCGTTGGCGGCCCATACGTACAATTCTGCTATAAAGTTCTTCTTCCACGGCATGCTGAGAAACGAAGGGCTGGGGATGTGGAAGGGACTGTTCCGCAGACGCGGATGCAGCATCTCGCTGCGAAGATGGGAAATATTCATCCTTCGAAGGACCCAAGGTTGGAGATTCCGCTCTTGGCGCTCATTCCTGTGACCGTGCTGTGCGCTTTGTATTGTATTTCTAGAGCGTATATACTCGTTGAGGACTTGGTTGGACTGAGGGACCTACCTGAGTCGGCGTTTGAGACAGTGGAGTGGTCCGTTTATATTCCTCATTGGTAGTTGATAGCAGAGTTATTGTTGCCTAGGCAGTACCTGAAGCCATCTCTCAGCTCATTTGACACACGACGACTTATCATAGTTACTCTATCAGTTCCCGCTACGGCGTACGCTACGGATCATTGCTTGGGTATCTGCCTAAGGCAACCGCCGCCAAGAAATAACGAAGTACCCCTGAATGCACCCCACAATTTTCATTTCCTTGACCAAGCAGACGTTTTTTAAATGGATCCGTGACCGTGAGGCTACTTTTGAAGAGCAATCTAAATTCCAAACAAGTGCGAGGGAACCTGCGTTAAGGCATGCTGGAATCATAGCCAGGCCCCCCACAACACATAATGAGTCGTCTTTTAGAACTCCCTGTCGAAGTTCTCCTGATCGTCTATGGGAGCCTAGAAACCATTAAAGATGCAGGTCGCCTGTCGCAATGCTGCAGGAAATTGTACCGTTTATTCAATGACCCAAAAACCCAGCAACGGATTCTGATGTCTATAGTCATTGATGTAGGTTCAACTCTGGAACACTATGAGTACAACCGTTGACTCTCCCAGAACAACCTACCACTACCCAAGAGCCCAGATACCGCCTGGCTCCGGGCCCACTTTGCTCCAGACTGGTTTTGGAAACCTACAGAATCGCAGCTACCTAACAATCTGGTTCACACAAAGACGCGGGAATTTCTCACAACCACTGGCATCCCTGCTGTCATTTGTCCAATAAATGAATGGAATTCTTCTTTCCTTAAAGACAATGGGAATGTGGATGCAGAGCTGTACGCCTGGGATGCTGATTCAATCTTTGGCCGCCGCTGGGCGGATGACGATTCTCCGCCCGTCAACTTTTGTTATTGTATTGGCCAGCTCAATGACGCGATGGCAATGCTTGATGCTGAGAATGGAATGATTCTCCACTTTGACCAGGGTGGTTATGGTGAATCTGCCGACAGGGGTATCATTGCGGATTCGGTGCCTTCACTTCTGGTGCTACTGGGGACGGTGGAGGTGACTGTGGCTCGGATGGGCAAAATGTCATCGAATTTGAACTGCGTGGCATTTGATAAGTATAATGATATGCGACTCTTTGTTTTAGCTGCTTTGAGGGAGATCATGTCAGAATATGATGACTGCGCGGAAGAAGGCTCGGTGTTCTGGAATGCAATTTTTGATACCTGTGTAGAATATTAACCTATATTTTTGCACAATATCGCTTGCGGACTCGTTATTATACGTCTAAAACATGGAAAGAGGCAGGGACCAGCAAAGTTAGTTGCCTTTGACTATGTAGCATAGAATCTGAATAATACGATAATGTCACGGAGAAAGCTGTTACATTGGATACTTGCTACTGTCAGTGAATACCACAACGATCCAAATTGGTATATTCACTTCATGAGTTCCCAAGAGAACTTTGCATTCCGCCATTCTCACTCCCAACACACTCTCTATCACACATATCCAGATACAAACTTTGTTCCTTGCTGTTGATCTTCTAGGACGATACCAGAGCTGGCAATAGGGTCAGTAATCAGAATCAGAGAAGAGGCTTGCCAGGCGTGTCTGAAACTCATGGTTTCAGATTTCGTCTCAACTTCATTGATTCTGACTTATTCACTTAGTGGCAGATTTACCAAAAGTGAATGGAAGCTGAGCTTCCACTTCAAGGCACATCAAGAAAGGCAACATCTAGGCCTTTGTACGGGTGGCGCCAAGGGGCGGTCAATTCCAACACTTGCCTACATGTGGCTGCCTCTGACCAAGAATGCCTCAAGCGTTGGGTTCGAGGTCGCCTGGAAATCCTCGCTTGAAGAGGCTGTGCCTCCGCGTCCTCACTGGAATATCGAGCAAGCCGGATAGTCCCTCTTCAGGGGAGATGAAATTGTGAGACAGCTCGAATGTGCATTGTTAGAGGACACTGGTGGTTCTCTTGCTCAACGACTTCAGTCTATTCTTTCATGTTCTTTCAATCCGCCTGTCAAGCCATGCAAATACGAACCCGGCAAACTCATCTGACAGTTTTCTTCTTGTCTGCCTGGCCCTTTTTCTTCTTACGATAGAGACGGGCTAATCCTATCCAGACTGTAGCCCACGTTTCGAGCTGTAGGCCCACCAAATTTCTCGCCAACACCTTGGACATTACCTTGGCCGTTTCCAGACCAAATGGACAAGAGCTACTAAGGCACGCCACACGATTATTCAAAGGTGTTCCACAGAAGAAGGAAGGAGTGAGGCTCTCAAGACAAAGTTTTTGAAACCTGGATTTGCAGATACAACCAGAACATTGCATCCTGCATTTCTAGCAGTCAGGGTTTACAAAAGACCTTGCACCCAAACCAAAGGAAATCTCTTGGACTGAAACAGGATTTCCCAAAGCAATGGGAACGGGGCGCCGCGCATACCACGTTTGGATATTAGAAAGATTGGCTCCTGGATCCGCAAGGCCGACCTCCTGAAGATGCCTGATAAGGTAAATAAATACTGCGCTGTATTCAACATCAGTACAGCTGTTGAAATTCAGGCAAACCTGTGCAGCCATCGATGGAAGCAAGCCAGCCCATCACTACAGCCATGCGGGAAGGCACGGTTAAAGACAGCGATCTAGCGTTCTATCCATGGTGATTACAGAGCACCTTCGACAAGCCCTTCAGCGAGAAAAACTCGCGACCAATACCTACTTTTCACGGCTGTCCCACGGACATATCCTCCAGAATAAAACTTTCAGAGGCAGTGTTGTCACGGACTGGCAGGCTTGCATTATCATTGATTATTGTAAATTGGTTCAATCAGTTCTCACCAGTGTCGTCAAGAGATTGTGCAGGGGAACCAGTTTGGCTCTAAAGCGGCTGTGGTTCATGACGGGTTATACCAGATATGGACCGGGACAGAAGGAGGAAAAGTCCATGCTCTGAGTATGCCCGGAATTTATTTTGCCGTACAGTCATTTCAGAGGAGACGGAACGGGATGTCATACGCTGCCCTTATGTGAAGACAGTCAAGAATGGGAGTGACCACACTTCTCTTGAAGCTTTTGGTTGGGCTTTGTGCATTTTGAGCGCAATCATATATCACAGTGGCTATATACTTTGACTGCTTAACCAACTGACCATCTGTGATGACTGCAGCCCATTAGAACCTCTTTTGTCTTTAAGAGGGCTCCTGGCAGATAGACCTTGTATACTATGCTGCTGCGCTGCGGATGGTAAAAACGAAAAAGGCGAAAAAAAAAGTGGACTCGCGGGGAATCGAACCCCGGACCACCCCCATGCTAAGGGGGTATTATACCACTAAACCACAAGCCCAACTTGTTGAGAACGGTTGCCAATAAGTGGCTAATGTCATATTTCATACACTTTAAAAAAACGTCCCACATACGCCACACGCTCTCTGGTACTAGTGGCTGTGATTTGAGGTACAGATCTACCTATTATCAACCGACCAGGATTACACCATTGGCCATTGACACTGCTCTCGCCCAATCCAATAGTAGCCATTACGATGTTGGCAAGTCAGGACTGTCATCTAGGTTGGAATTAGAATAGAGAAACTGAGTTAGTATATTAAGCAACAGCCTCGTCCTAGGAAATCACAGAAATCTCCATACTGGAGAGAAGGAGTCAAAGGGAACGCGTGCTGTTCTGGACGAAACATTTTGACGAATCCATCAACTAAGATACCTCAAGCGATGGGATAAAAGGGTGTCAGATTACATCTACAGAAGTTGGCTCTGTCGGAATCAGTCTATGTATCACTCGGCTACAGCTTCTATTCTCTCCATCTATTAATCTGCTATTATATCTGTCGAGCCATTTACCGACAGGTTTTATGCCCTCATGAGTAGATCCTTACGTTCATCAGGAAAGAAAGCTCTCTCTCGAGTTTGATTCAATCTCCCTGAATCCTGTTCAATACAAACAGCGTCAACATAGAACTGCGCCCCCCTTTAGATATTCAAAGCCCTGCTCATATCCTCCAACATCGTTATCACCGGACCGGAGTCAGCGCACGAGGCTGCAAGACACCTTAGCAGCCTGCTCTTAATTGCAGACCTATGAAGATAAGTAAGGAAACTAACAATGTCGTAGACCAGAGCAGAGTAGAGACTTACGCAAGGACCGCGGCCAGTGGTGCAGTAAGGGCAGCTCGGATTCATCTTGTTTGGTATGGAAGAGTTGGAGAGTTTCCCTTAGCTGAAGTCTGGATATGAATTGAGGTATTATGCTATAATGCTTTCAAAGTGTGGCAGTGTAGTGAGTGGTAAGAAGAGAGGAAGGGAAGGGATGAGTCTCGGGTTATATGCTTCTCGGTCTGGGGTTGTATCCACTTCATTGAGCTGAATTGATAAATCCCGCATCAAAACATGACGACGTCATCAGCTGCCGATCAGTTTCCGCCATGGGTCTCCTATATTCTGCAGCATGGTGAAGCTGTACAGCCTCTGCTGCAGTAAACGAAAGAGAGCCAGCAACAGTTCGCCGATAGCTCTTGTCCATCGCTGATCCTGACATCTCGTGGATCCCAGCGGGGTAGCTGGATTGTCGATCGACGATCCGCTTCAGCCATCCACACCTGCTGTTCTGCAGACTATCTAGGGGAACCGTGCCTTGTTGTTACTGTCCACTTTGAATCCGTACATCACCAAACCGTCATCGCTGGAACCATTGAATGTCATCCCTAAATCATAATTCCTCAGTAAAACACCCAGATTGGAACCAAGACGCCCGTTCTGGTTTAAGTGTTACATTTGGTATGACGTCTGCCTTTAGACACCTATGAAACCACAGTATCTTCCCTCGCTAACACTCGGGCAGAATACTTTAAGGACGAATAGGACTTCCTGCTAACAGGATATTGAAACTCAATGTGGGACGGAAATCTGCTACGTCAGTGTGATATTTGCAGACTGGGCGTTATGAATTGGAATCTACTACAGAGCGTGCCAACCGCTGTGCAACCATGGCGATGTTTAAGTGGCCCACTGGTCATATATCCTTTCCACCATGCCAATCTCGCCTCATTTGCGTCTTTGTGGAACGTATCAGAAACTAGGACATGCAAAGCTACGGAGGAGCAGCGGTCCTTTGGTTTGCCGCCTCAACCGCCAAATTCAGATCAATCCTCTACCTGGTAACTGCGAGCAGAGTACCCCGCATGGTTGTGGGTCACATTGATTTCGTGAATCAAGCTGCGCTGAATTGGCCGATTCAAGAGGAAAGCAAGGAGACAGATGAGGTTCAAAGCATTCATTACAGATTAAGAGACATGACCATCCACCATTGGATAAATTGGTCTAAATCCTGGAATATGGGGCCTTTGGACTCATTGCTCTACACAATACTCTTAGCTAGCTCCGGATTGCAGATATCAACTCCAATCAAGTATATACACGTATATATTAGAATTATCGTCCAGGTGTTGAAAGATGGGCTTCAAATCAGCTTGTCTAATAATAGGAGATGAATCAACTAGGTCTGTGACCCCAAAATTAAGCCAATCGTATGCATGATAGCAATGCAGATTTTGCTGGGCAAGCTCAGGGCACCGAACCGCCTCCCAGCATCAATAAGGTAGACTCGAGGGGGCACTTATGCCAATATGAGTCTGGCAGTTTCCTTTTGCATACGTTCTGATCCTTCCTTGAAAAATTTGCTGTCTGCTTTGGAAACAGCTATGTTATGTAGGCGCGCTGGGTATCCTAACGCGTTAAGTCCGACAGCATAAAGGTACCGACTACCGAATGAGAGCGGATGAGCTTATTTCAATGAACTCAACTATTCTCTATGACTTTCAAATCTCCTTCGTAAATCCAATATTAGCCCATTCAACGGACAAAACTCTCGTTATGAGGCATCACGTTCGCTTAAGGTATCCAAAGCCAAATTGACCACCAATGGACTCAACACAAGGACAAGATATAAGAACTAAATCAAGTCCACAACTGTCCAGTCTAAGCTAAATTCACTAGAGCAGAAACTCGTCAGGTTGTAGAGCTTCAATCGTTCCTTCTAGCATGACATTCAACTAGGGCTGATTGGGGCTGTCCACAAAAAGTTGAACTAAACATCGAGCGTTATCCTAGCGGCGAACGCAGGTCTATCTACGAGGACATTGCCGCCATCACCAAGAGCAAATCGAATCAGAACTCATGCTCCCTGGTGTATGGCACCGACTCTGACGGCACCTATGTCGAAGGGTATGCTTACGAGGCTACGACAAGTGGTGAGAACTGCAAGACGACGGCGGAAAAGAAGACTATCCTTGCGGCGGTCGAGAAGTGTGCAAACAAACTGAACGCCCAGGGTGCGATTCGGGGCTGCACCATAAACCACGGCGGTACATGGACGGGGCATCTGCGTTTGACTGCTAGTCCTTCACTTTACCCAGCACACACTGGCACATGTTAAAGTCCTGCTGTTGCGATGTAGGACATTCAGTAGTATCATGTCTCATTTTCGAATTCGTTCCATGCCCGCACAATGTGGCAGTGTGGGAATTGACACTTCTTTGATTCTCGATGTATTTATACCTTGATTCGCGCTAACCTGCACTGCAGGTTATTTATATCTTTGCTCAAGTCAGCTAGAGAATAGAAAATTCAAGGCTTTGTCTGAATCAATTGCTGGCACTTGTGGCTTGACTACAGTCGTCGTCATGTAGAAAAATCTAGATGAGCAACTAGCCTTGTGGGTCATTGCCGCGTGGAGGATACGTATGTTCTCCCACCCGGGCTACATTTGTCAACTCTAGACGAACTCAGTCGATATTGAGCTTTTTGATGCCTTGCATGACCGGCAGCAGTGACAAAAGTAGTCCATATATAATGGCGAAAGGAGGCTGTATACTGCGGACGAACATGTGGCCAAGGACCGAATCCATTTTGACTTCGACCAATTTAAGTGCTAGTTTCCCTCAATTATTGGACACCAAAGAGACGCAGATAGTTGGCAAAGTTAGCAAGTAGGCAATATGCAATATATGGTTATATTTGTTGCACTGATACTGATCCAGCTGGTGGTTTGTCAATCCGAATTCAATGGAGTCGGCGAACATAACCTGTCAACGGCCACAATGACCACGTCTTCACAAGACTCTAATCCCGATGGCCGGCATCTCTCGAGGCTGGGAAGTCGATTTGGAGAATGGATACTAAAGCGCGATACCACGGCAGTCGCGGATGCAGTTGCATCAACCTCTGCCACTGAGAGTGCCACCTATGTGACAACGACCAGCCGTGCCGATGCAACGGCGACCTCAGAATCCACGACTGCCTCGAGCACCTCAACAACCTCTTCATCATTCACAACAACAACTGCAACAGATACGACAACCTCAGCTACAACATACAGTACTTCCAGCACCACCACCACCACCACCACACCGTCCTCATCCGCATCCACCGCTGCCTCAGCCACAACTACCACAGCAGCAACGACGACGACCACCTCAACGACCACACCAACTCCTACCGAATCCGCCGAATTGAAGAAATGGAACCACCGCGGGACCATCGCCGCCATCGTCACCTTCAGCATCCTCGGTTCCTTCTTCCTAGGTGCCTGCATCGCCCGATGCATCCGCAATCGGGTGAAGAAACGGCGCATCGACGCGATAAACCAGCACGATAAAGAATCTTCGCTCTACATGTTGACCCTGAACCCCGAAAAGGGGAGTTCGGCAAGCCAATTGAAGTTGGATCGCGAGTCGATCATGTTCTGCGACGAGAGGAGGTCGCAACTGGAGACCGTGCCGTCGTTGTCAGGGCAGTCGTATTGGCAGGGGTCTGTGGCGCATTCGTCCATGCCGTCGGAAGATATGGGCCGGTCGATGAGTAGTGGGAGGCATACGCCGTTAGGTGTGAGGGAGCAGAATGGGAAAGCTGAAGTGTAAGAATCATGAGATTGTCCGGTAGCGACATTGACCTACATGTCTATTTCTATTGTTATGTGTGTTCATCACGGGGGTGTCGTATAATGCAGGATGAGACGAAGACTACGCTTCATGCAGATCTAGAACGATGACATAAAAATACAGTTAGCCAATCCAACCATGTCATAGACTCTTAATCATCTTCCAAATACCAGTCAACTACCGTTGTCAGCCCGGGCCCGACTCTTCGCTTCCCGACGATCCGTCGACGACGACCAGACTCATTTCATGAAGGAGTTCCTCAACCTCGACCTCGCCGGCCTTGACTGCCAGATCCAGTGGTGTCCGACCCTTGTGGTCTTTCAATTCAGCTTCTGCGCCGTGCCCCAGGAGAAAGTGCACATCGTCGCGTAATCCAGCTTCGGCAGCGATGTGTAGTGCGGACTGACCGTACATATCTACTGCGTGGATGTTGGCGCCCTTGTTCACCAGCAACCTCATGACATGGTTCTTCGCTTTGACAGCTCGATGCAGCGGAGTCCTCTTGTAGTCGTCCTCCATCTCGAGCTCCGCCCCGTTCTTCAAAAGAAACTCCACCATCTTGCGATGGCCGCGTTCTACTGCCTTGTGCAGCGGTGTTTCTCCACAGTGGTTGGTCATGTTGATATCCGAGTCTTTCTCTAGTAGCAACCCGACGAGCCGTCTGTAGCCTCCTAACACTGCGAGATGAAGGGGTGTATCTCCTGTGCTGTCGGCTGCTTCGGGGTCTGCGCCATTGCCCAGGAGCATCTCGACTATTTGGTCGTGTTCATGGAGCACGGCTAGATGCAGCGGTGTTGAACCATCTTTGGCTGCAGCATTTACCTGAGCACCTCTCTGCAGGAACAGGGCAGTCAGATCCACATCGCCATCCTTCGCCAATATGTGTAGTGTAGTCCTCCCTTTGGTATCTCTCGCGTTGACATTGGCACCTTTCTCAAGCAGCACATTGAGCATTTTCATCCCGCGCTTCGTGCGATCGTATACCACCAACGCCAACAGAAGCGGGAGACCGGACTCTCCGCACGGTGAATCGATATCGGCGCCCTTCTTGATCAAGTATTTCACTATGTCTGCATGCCCCCTCCTGCCGGCCTGGTACAGCGGCGTGCCGCGTGGCCCCTTTTCGTCATTGGGAGACGGCTGCGCCTCTCTGTCAGCGCCATGGCGCACGAGCAGTCGGACCACAGGTAGGTGACCATTGCAAGCAGCCCACCACAACGGCGTTCTCCCCTCCGCATCGGCAGCATTGACATTGACTCTCCTCGACCCGATCAGCAATCGAACCACCTCTTCGTGTCCTTTTTCCGCAGCCCACAGCAACGGCGTTCTCCCGTGATTATCCTTCACGTCCGGATCGGCATTCACCTTGAGAAGCTGTACCACAAACGGCTGGTTCCCCTGTTCCACAGCCCAATAAAAGGGTGTCTGGCCATTGACGTCGGGGATGTCAGGATTGATTTCACCGCGCGCGAGTAGACGATTCATAATCCCTTCGTGCCCATTCTTCACAGCCAAGTACAACGGCGTTTGTCCATCGGCACCAGCGGCGTTCGGGTCAACTTCAGCGCGTCCGAGTAAAGCTCCCGCAATCGCTTCGTTTCCGTTCTTCACAGCCCAGTATAGCGGCGTCTGCCCAGCAGCGTCAGGCGTGTTCGCATTGAGATCTGCCCGCGCGAGTAATTGTTCGATAATTGCTTCGTTTCCACTCTTCACAGCCGCATACAAGGGTGTCTCGCCGTTGGCATCGGGAATATTCGGGTCGACATTTTCAAGGGCGAGTAATTTCCCCACGACGCCTGCGTGTCCATTTTTGACTGCCCAACACAGCGGCGACTGGCCAGTTTTAGAATCCACCGCGTTCACATCCACTGCCCCAGTCTCGAGCAGTATCTGGAGAACGCTCTCATGACCACCCTCTGCGGCTAGGGAGACCGCATTCCGACCGTCTTCGTCCTTGAAGTCGAGACGCACACCGGGGGTGCTCAGAAGGAGTTTGACGATCGTATCGTAGCCCTTGCTTGCGGCAAGAAAGAGTGCGACTTCCAGTTTGCCTGGTACGACCTTTTCTTCTGTCATCTCGACAACGTAGTGTTATCTTTTGCTCATAAGTGAGCATTCACTTTGTCGTCAGATGAATTGGTAGTAGGAAAAAAGGCACGTAGTGTGGCAAGCGATGACAACATAAATCACGGTCCTTGAGCAGACCCGCATCTCTGTCCCGCCACGTGGGTGGCTTTCACTGGTCGCAAGGGAGTAAAAATCCCGGCAGGATTTCAAGTAAGGTGACAATTGTTCCCGACTTGGTAAGTTGTCATACGTTCGTTGTCTGTTGTCTTTTGGGCCTTCGGGTTCACTGGGCTGCATGGTTTCACGAATTTTCCGGAATCCATTCGTCGATGTTACTCCATGCTCTGTTGTTGGTCCGAATCGGGCATCCGGGTTCAGGGCATCGTACGACGGTCAGTCCATGGATGGTGAGATGGCACCGTAGGGACGGATCGTGCCTGACGAACCCTAGGTCCACTATATGATCAATCTGATAACAATGCAATAGACCATGCCCTCTATCTACCCACATTGTTAAATACTGTCTCAAGATCTATGTGGAATTACCCCGCAGTTCTGGGAGGATGAGGGGCAGATGACGCTATCCCGCTTAAGGAGATCTCCCAATAAGGCAAGTCTGTTTTGCTTCGGACAAATTCGGATCATAGTTTAGAGGATCATTTAAACAGAATCTTTTTCAAGGATAATTCAAGCCCTAGGTTTAAACACACACCCAGCAAGCCCATTACTTCTTTGAATGGCGGCCGCAAGCATACCTATGAAGATCAACGTCAAGGACAGTGGATTGTAGCGTGTCGCAAACTCATTCAGGCTTAGTATTGCATATTGACGTGAGAGCAATATGCTTTCGGTTTCCCGCAACCAGATATCGTTTACCAATGAAACTCTACCGAGTCATCTTTGATAAGCCAAATCATATATTTTCCGAGAACTATTGCGCTGCTCAGTTAAGCTGGCGTCACACGAGACTACAGTTTTTGAATTAAGCCATGCAATGGCAGATATAGCCGGCTGGCTTCTGATGATTTCAACGGAAATACTGTTCCATAGAATCCTCATCATGCACCTTTGCTGATCTGTTGCTCTTCTCCTGGTCCTCTCAGTATTTCTACATCATCCGTTCCTCACTTCAGTCTGCTTCACCGTCGTGGCTGTCGCATCATGTTGTTGAAGCCTCATAGTTGCCGCTGTCCGGACTTACCATTTCCACGTAAACATCACAGTGAACTCCGTGTATGGCCCACATTAGATAGCACTATTCTGACCCTTTCCGTTTCGGGTCCGGAAAAGAGATGAATCCGTTGGATAAAGAAGTTGAGAATGGTAAATTTCTTGCTAATCAAAATGATGATCTCCAGTTCTGGGAGTATCGCGACATAAAGAAGAAGCAGAAGATATGATAATGGAAATATCGCACTGGAATTCACGAGGTACGTATATATATATTATGGTATAACTGCGCCTGTTTAGAGTCCACATCTGTATTGTCGGGCTCAGCCATAGGACACGAACATCTGTATCATGTTATTGGTTCAGCATGGTCTTTACTCTTTTCCTCTGAGGTTTCATCAAGAGATCGGACCCTCCCATCAGCAGGCCCAAGAATGCAGCAAGCGCCATCGCTCTAGATACGAGGTGCTGCCAGGAAGCACAACCTTACAGTTTGATCAATTTGTACCGATTATTGGCCCATTACCTGCAGGCTGTGTTCAGTATAGCGTCCTCTGGCGTGAGCCACATCTCGTATTATAACCATTAACTCCGGTGGTATACACCTGGTGGCCAGGTCGGACTTAGGGCGGCGAATCGACTGCCTTGGCGTACGAACAGAAATGCCAACCGTAAGTAAGCCTTTGATAATCCTGTCAAGATATGTACTAGGATATATTGAATACGACCATTAATATTGGTTTGACAGTCAAAAGAAGGTATCATGTACCGAATACGAGTCATGGGTGTTAGTCCACGCCCCTTCAGGATGAGCAGTCTCCCTTCGACTGAACCAGCCAAAGTCCGATAATCCCATCTGGCCAGCTTATAAATAGGCATCCGTTTGCAAGGTGTACACCTCTGAATCCATCACAGAGACATCTCTCCTAGCATTCTAATACTTTCAAAATGGCGACTCACCGAGCGATCATCCTCTCCGAGATCAACTCACCACTCACCCTCGCCACAGTCCCAACACCCGCACCTCAATCCGGCCAAGTACTCATCAAAGTCCTGGCCAGCCCTATCCACTCGTACTACCGCGCAATCCTCACCGGCAAGCTCCCCTATCCCCTCCCCCTCCCCTGCACCCCCGGTGCATCCCCAATCGGCCGCATCGAGGCCATCGGATCCGACGCAACGACCCTCAAACCCGGCCAACTAGTCTACGTCGACCTTACCGTACGGGCACGCGATGACCCTCTCAAAGAACAAGGCACTGCCATCCTGCAGGGTCTCTTCGGAGGCGTAACGCCCGAAGCGCGCATCCTATCCGAAAACGACTGGCGCCATGGCTCGTGGGCAGAGAAACAGATCGTCCCTCTGGAGAATGTGTATGTTCTTGATGAATCACTTCTGCTCGAGCAGATGGGCTATTCCCCGGCACGACTGGCCTGGATTAACACCCTGCTTGTTCCGTATGGCGGTTTACTTTCTGGGGCACTGCAGCCGGGCGAGACAGTGATTGTGTGTTTTGCGACGGGGCATTTCGGTGGTGCTGCGATCGATGCTGCGCTTGCCATGGGGGCGGGGAGGGTTGTTGCTGTGGGACGACGAATGAGTTCCCTAGAGAAGATCCAGGCGGGGTATCCAAAGGGAAAGGTAGTCGGCGTTGCAACGGAGGGTCTCGACGAGAGTTCCTTGAAAGATGCCCTTAGGAAAGCGACTCCGCGCGGGCTTGGGGCGGATCTGTTTCTTGATTTCACTCCCGCGTCTGCTGTGGAGGGGCAGAAATGGATACACATCTCATCTGCGATATCGACATTGAAGGCCAACGGTCGCGCGGTTCTTATGGGTGGAGCGTCGGATTCGATCAGCGTGTCTTATTCCGAGCTCATGATGCGTAATATCCAGGTGAAGGGAAACTTCATGTTCGACGGAACTGCTCCTGCGAAGTTGATACGGCTCATCGAGATGGGGAACTTGTCGTTGTCCAGATTTCACAACATTGAATTTGATTTCAAGGACTATGAAAGAGCGATCGACGAGGCTACGACGAAGACTGCCGGTGGCTGCGGAGTGGTCCTGGTGCACAAAGAGTAGTCTGGAGCAGTGCAGCGACGGAGGGTAAAGGCACTTCGTCCCTCGCTCAGGAACCCGAAATACACGCCTGTGGATTTATTTGCTGCTTCGTGTCGATTTCAAATGGGAAATGCTTTAGTTCACTATCGGCTTGCTCACAGAGTAATTTAGCGGATATTTCATTGTAGACAAACGTGGCTGTGTTGCTTCTTCATGCATATCCATTGTCCCTCAGGCATCCTGACAAGCGCCGTACGACATGGCAGAGCTGCGAACGGCCAGAGACAACGGACTGATCGTAGATGACACTGAAAAATTAGAACCAGCGTCCTCAGACTCCAGTCTCGCAGCTTGTATTTTCGCCTCCAGGTCATCCTGTCCGACGCGTGACACTCGTCGCCATCGTGAAGGTCAAGTCCACCGACCTATCAAGTAAATCCTCGTTAGATCCCTCCAGGGATACACAGTATGATCGCCGGGTCTTACGTCGTTTCCGAACAAGCTTGACTGCAAGGAAGTATTCTCTCAATGTCTTCGGACGGTATTCCGGGAACATGCGGTCGAGTATCCGGTGGAGTCTTTGTTTCAACCGACATGTCAGTCCTGCACCAGGAGAGGAAGAGGTTGAGAAGGAACATACTCCGGTCGGATAATCCGGGCCACCCAACAAGTGACAAGAACGACAGATAGCACGAAGGCGATAAAGAGTGCCCAGTGAGACATGACGGCCGAAATGCTCAGATGAGGGGTGCGAGCTGATAAGTCGAGATAAAGATGTGATACAACAGCAGCACAAAGCCTCGATCTTGAAGACGGGTTCCTTGATTAAATCTTGAAATTCGATGGTGAGGCAGGTTGATGTTGCACTCAAATTAGGAAGGAGCGAGTCAAATGTAAATTGAGTAAAATGAAAACAGTAGGAGGAAGGACGCTGAGGTGCATGAACGCTAACTATCCTGAATTAGTAGTCACAGAGGCCATAGTGGCTATTGAGCATTATTGGCATGGTTAAGGTAGTGAATATCCACATTCGCAGATTAGATGCAGCATGGCTTGCTTCTGATAATATCTGGCCCCATGCCCGGGTCCAATTCATTAGAGCACGAAAGTAATATTACCTCTATTTGATTACTCTACACCGCAACCATCGGAGAGATATCCTCACTCATTGATCATCATACTGTTCTTTATTACCAAAGTAGAGATTTTTACTCAGAGAATTACTCTAGGCCAGCGGGTCGAAGCTTAGCGGAAGTTAAGGCAACTTTTACGAACAGCCAAAGTCCCTCGATCTTTTCTTCAAATATTTTGCTTGTTCGTGGCTCCTAAATAGGATCCTACAGCTTTGCTACAGACTTCTCGCTGGTTTGGCGACACGTACAGTGAGATTGCAAAATATACGCTAGTTTCTCTCCAGGCTCCGGAGCAGATATATGGACCAGAGACTACAATTCAGAGCCTGCGCATCTCTATCTAACCATGCCAGTCCTGAACAACGAGTGCCAACGGGACCAAGACAAGAGCTTGCATCTCCAGCTTACTACGAGCGCTAGCAGCAAATCCTAGCCAACATAGGCATCCTCCCCTGCGGGCTAACTGTTTTTACTCTGATTCGTCCTAGAGGATTTGCAAAGATCAGTTCTCATCACTGAAGGGTCAGTCACAGAAATTATTCAGCGATGGGATGGTCCCAAGATTTATGGAGTATCTACTCCGTAATGTTAAATCATTTTTGACTATGAATCAAAACTTGCGTGTGATAGCAGATGTCAACAAGTGTTAGCGATGAACATGATGAGATTACCAAACGCTTCTATCCTACGTACCCTACTCTAGTGGGTGGTCTGGAAAGAGATCGACATAGGGGGCATTATGCATGCGCTGCTATAGCAAAATACCACCACAGCAAGAAGGATTCCATGATTTTTTCAAGAAATGGCAAAGTACTATCTCGTGATCAACAAAAGACGGATACTATGTCGTACCGTACCCAACAACTATGGATGTTGATGAACGCACCCAAGAGTCCCTGGTTAATGAACGATTATCCAGGCAAAAGCGTAACTAAGCCTACAGTAAAAACATTATTATCCTTTTCGCCAAAATTCTGTAGGTTACCCGCCTAGCAATTCCACCTGCGTCATTTCCGGATCTTTTTCGTATCCTTGTGCACGCCGGAATTCCGAAGTATGGACTAGCCAGCTAAATAGGGCGGGTACTAGCGGGAACAGGACCAGGCGGGGCAAGCCGCTTTGTATGATTGGCCTGAATCGCTCAAATCTCCATTTCTAAAAAGCTTGGCAGAGCCTTAAAATCAGGGCATCGTCATTTATACAAAATTACAGCTTCACGAAGGCCAGAAAACAGCGATTTGAACACCCTCTGATTACAGCTTTGTCGCATTCCAAAAAACATTGGCAATTTGATTTCAAATCACAACATCCTGCATTGATAATGATTAATAATGCAAAACAGACCGGATTTCCCCCGAACTTTTCGGGCTCACCTATCTCAGCCCCTTTTCATATATCTTTTCACTCGTCCATGAGATCGCTCCTTAACATACAAGGGAATAGGACTCCTTCTTCTGCATTGAAAACTCTAATTTCCACCAATCTTCTCCCTAGTCTTTATCTATATCCCCTGGATTGAGCCCTCGAGACGTCTACACGGGCGCTCGCTACCGTGAGTGTGCATACCTTTCATGGCTCCCTTGGCACCAATTGACTTATGTGGAATGGTTCAATCGCAGATGGAGACTAAAGATTCAACTCCTCGGTTCCACCTCTACAGACTGGTTCTCTCGCAGAGCACCATCACCGATGATGTTCTCCAGCATCAGTGGGAAGGGGATGGGACAATTGAGAACCCGTATCTTGTGGAGTGGCTGCACGACGATCCTCGCGATCCCCATCAAATGCAAGAGTGGCTAAAATGGTCCATTACTCTTCTTCAGGCCGCATCATTTCTCTCCATAACATTCGCCTCGTCTTCACTTTCCGCCGCCAATCCCCAGATTCAGGATCATTTTGGGGTTAGTTCCGAGCTGGTGGTTGCGGATACCTCGTTGTTCGTGCTCGCATTTGCCATTGGTCCTGCGGTTTGGGCTCCTCTTTCGGAACTATATGGTCGACAAGTGATATACTTTATCACCTATGGAATGACGACTCTCTTTGCTGGGGCGACCATCGCAAGTCCAAATATTGCAACTCTTTTGGTCCTTCGATTTTTGTCTGCCGCATTTGGTTCATCTGCCATCTCCAACGCTGGTGGAGTGGTTTCTGACATGTATACCGCGCGAGATCGAGGCCTCGCGACAATTGCTTTTATTGGAGCTCCGTTCCTTGGCCCTAGCCTTGGGCCTATTGCTTGCGATTTCTTGGCAGTATCCAAAGGTTGGAAGTGGGTTCAAGGACTTACTACAATCTTCAATGCAGTGGTGTTCTTGGTGGGAATTTGCCTAATTCCCGAGACATACTCACCCGTTCTCCTGCAAAAGAGAGCGGCAAAACTCAGCAAGATGACTGGTGCTGTCTACAAGAGCCGACTCGATGTGGAGCAGGGGCATAAAACCGCCGGCCAGGTCTTTACGAAGACAATGGTGCGCCCTTGGATTTTGCTCTTTTTAGAGCCAATCGTGTTACTCCTTTCAATCTACATGGCTATCAGTGAGTTGAACAGAACGTTGAAATTACCTCCTGTGCTCAAGCTAATTATTTGACCACTATTTGTGGCTTCGCCTTAGTCTACGGTACAATGTATATGGAATTTGCAGCCTTTCCGATCGTGTTTGAGGAAGCCCGCCATTGGCCACAGAGCACTTCTGGGTTGTCATTCTTGGGAATGATGATTGGACAGATACTTGGATGCGCATATTCTATTCTGGACGATGGCCGATACAAGAAAATCGCCGATAGTATTAGCTTTGGTCGCCCTCCCCCCGAGGCACGACTCATTCCTGCTATGGTCGGAGCTGTGACGCTCCCCATTGGCCTGTTCTGGTTTGCGTGGACCAACTTCCCTAGAATTCACTGGATTGTCTGCCAGATTGGAACAGTATTATTTGGCTTCTCTCACGTCTCCATTTTTCTCAGCGTGGTCAATTACCTCGTGGATGGCTACACTGTCTATGCCGCCTCGGCGCTGGCAGGGAATGCTGTCATACGAGCCCTCTTCGGCGCAGCCTTGTAAGACTTTCTCACTTTGCTACAATCTCCAACCTAACAACTTATACTTTAGTCCTCTCTTCACCACGCCCATGTACGATCGCTTAGGTATCCATTGGGGCTCTTCGATCTCGGCCTTTCTCGCCGCTGCTTGTCTCCCGTTTCCCTGGATATTTTACAAATACGGCCCTGCGATTCGACGCCACTGTCGATATGCGGCTGAGTCTGCCCGTCAGCTTGATGCTATGACTGATCGGATGAGAGTCCAGGCGGAGCAAAAGATCGCGGGCGAAAAGTCCTCGGAGCAGTCCGCAAAATCTGCGAGCTCTCCTTCCGCTGCAGCCAATGAGGAACCCAATCTCTCTCGAAAGACGACCTGCCTTGAGAGACACGTCATGGCGCTGGGGCGACTTCCACGTCAATGAGCCCAACTACATGGTTGTTTATACAACATCGCCTGAGCTCTTTTCTTTACCTGCACTTACCGTGGATCATCCAATTACCCCCGGGCAACACCTGTCACCTTTCAGGCATCTGTCTCGGAATATCTGAAAAATATATTGAGATGCAAAGTCTTACACTCATGTGGTGCGAATCGGGGAAATTTCTAGCCATGTTCTTTATTTCTCCAGCTGTGCTTCCCATTCTGCTGCTACAAAGGGGCGGACTTTTCTTTTTATATTTTAGAAAGTTATGCTTGCCTCTTCAATGGACACCTATTCGGCAATGATGTCGACGATTTCCTCAGCGGTGTAGAAGCCCAATTGGACGCGCCAACTAATGGCATCCTGGATGTTTAAGTCAAGGAATTTTTCTTGTTCGTGGGATTGTTCTAATGCGGAGTTCTTGGTCCATTGCGACGGAATTGGATTTCATTCTGTTCTCGTTGGTGGGGGAAGACAATCGATATTCTTGGGAATCAGGGGTTGAGATGGGAGTGGACAAAGCTTATTTACGAGCAGGGCAGCCACATCCTTGTGAAAATGAAAATTATGCTACTCTGTTCTGACCGTAGATTCAAGAACACCGACTGCTAAGCCTTGCATTACTCGCACGGAGATATACAGGACCATAGGCGATGGCCTGATCGAGAAGACCCCAATGAGTTTCCATATTGTCTGCCAGGCCAAGGCGCCGACGGTCAAGCATTTCGGATTCGTTAAGTCTGCTAAAGATCCAGATACAACGACCGAGACCCCCTTGGCCAGTAAAGAAGATCCAACCAACCAAGGAGACGACGAAGCACTAGTTCCGAGTTCTGAAACAAGAGTGACCTGGTTCCCAACGATGTTGACGAGAAAGACAGCAAAAAACAACTGTCCCGTAGAACAGATCAGAACAAACACGATTTCTGCCCACAGGGAAGACAGCTCGGGTGGCTTGTCCTGGCCGACTGTGGTCTGCATGGGGGTTGGAGTAGAATGCTCCTGTCCTCATGGGTGTGTCCGTCCACCCCCGGAATGTTGTCTGAAATGCGCGAAATGCTCTGCGATGGAAACGTTTCCATAGCAAGAGGCATGGTTGATTTTCAGGATATCTAAAGGAGCTCGAAAAAAGATCACGACTATGTTGTGACACGGCGCACCCTCTCCATAATGCCAAGAATCTCCAAACGACAAGCTCTCCATGCCTCCATCACAAACGTCATAGCGAATTCAACATGGGAGACTATTTAAAGACGTTTCTTTTGCAGAAAGCCACGATCCATATCTCTTTCGCTTGAATGCTGGTCCTCTATACCTCGATATATCTTATTATTTTCTCGAAGTACCTCTTGCTATTATGTCGTCCCTGACCTATGTCAACGACGATGGTGCCGGACAGAAGCATAGCGACCTGTGCCACTACTCACAAGCCGTTCACCTTCCTGGGAACATCGTAAAATGTGCTGGACAGGGCGGCTGGACCAGCTCAGGTGATCTTGACACCGACGATGCTCGCAGGCAGGTTGATCTGGCTTTTCAAAATGTCGACCGGGTTCTTCAGGCAGCTGGACTGAAAGGATGGGAAGACGTCTACCTTATTCGTTCGTACCATGTCGACATGGAGTCTTCTTACGACTACGTTGTCGAAAAGCTGAAGCAACGTATCCCTGGACACCGCCCTGTCTGGACTGCTATCGCTGTTCCTCGCCTGGCTTTCCCTCCTATGTTGATCGAGATCGAGGTAGAGGCGTTCGATTCTCGATCTTAGAAAAAGGAATGCAACCCACTTGACTTTGTGGTAAGTTCTAATCTCGCTTTGCCCAAAACGCAATATCGAATAACATGAGATCGTTTGTAGAGAAGGACTGAGGGCATCAGTGCAATACCGCACGTTGTTAGCTCCCCATTGACGGAAGGAGTTCGAAATAATCTTGTCGATCTGTCTTGCAGTTGCTCAAGGCAATCTCCGTCTGTTGACCTTCCTAACGGGCTTTCTGGTGGTCAAAAGTTCGACTCCTGTCACTTTGATGTGTATGAGTTTTATTGGATCAGAAAGTTCCGTACAAACAAATATGGAGATTTGACCCCAAAAGGACCATTGACAATGAGACTAGCATGTAACGATGGAGAACGCTTGACGAAAGACGTACGTAATTACCATGAAGAACAGATGATCACGTGATTTGGAGGATTGGAGACGTGGGGTAGGGACATCTTCCAATCACATTCTTCGTTAGTTACTTATGAGAGGACAATTAATCATCACCATTACTAGGGAACGTTCAATCTCTCCCCCAAATTGATTTTCACTTTTTTATTTTTTAAATAAAAAAACGGAGCGCTTCAGAAGCCTGCCGTGAATCTTGACATGAATGATTGCCCAACAACGCAAGCCCCGGAAGTTCCCCCATTAGGGAGAAGAAAACCACGAACATGCCCTTATTGCAAGCGATCCTTCCGGCGCCACGAACACCTCCAAAGACATATGCGACTCCGTAAGTGTCGCCACTTATATCACGAACTATTAGTATTGTTCATCGCAACTGAGAGTAGTCATATCCTAGATACAAATGAGAAACCGTATGAATGTCATTGCGGGGCTTCATTTAGCCGACGGGATCTTTTGAAGCGTCATCAGAGCACCGGCCATGACATGATCCCGCAAGATACGCCGTCCACGGCGATCCACGATACAAGCAACCTTGAACCGGGAGCGGATGACTCTCACATGGAGGACGGGGCATCTTTACTGGAGCCTACATCCTTCCAAAGCACTTTAGCTGGGCCGACCAGCCGGGATAGCCGATTTGGGGATGGACAGTTTCACGGTATGCTACGCTCCAACTTCTCTTGGTGAGATTATAATAAGGGACACGATATATGGCTGCTAGTCAAGATGAATTCTAAAAGCCTTGGTTATGTGCAGGAAACTCACTATTCAGTTCCCAGGATCTCCTGGGCTTCCAAGAGCTGGGAATGTTCAGCAGCAATCTGGGACTGGATGATGAGTGGTATCTCCCATCCCAGCCGAGCATTGTGCAGATTTTTGCTGGAGATACCGGCTCGAACAACCTGCGAACCCCGTCCACCGCACATTCGTGTAATGGACACCCTTCTGATCCAGAGCTAATGCTGAGCAAGCTCCCAACTGAGAGGGAAAACGTCGGTAGGTTCTCATGATTCTACAATCACACCATAGCATGCACAGCCTAAGAATCGTTTGCAGCGGAATTTGGGGTCTTGACACTGCCGATCCTGACCGTTACACATCAGCACCGAGAGCAGCTTTGCGAGGCGCTGATGCTGTGCCGTTCTACGGAAATATCGAGCAATCTACCATCATGTCACTCACTGTCACGATTTATCAATGGATTTTTCGATGGGTTTTATCCTCACTTCCCGATGGTGCATATTCCAACATTCAAGGTCAGCGAGTCTGAACCTGAGATCCTCTTAGCCATGTGTGCTCTCGGTGCTGAATTTCGGCATGAGAATCGAAAGGCTGTGTTCCTGTTCCATGCAGCTAAGGATTTACTGCAAAAAAAATTTCGTGAGACACAGCGGACGGCGGTTGAGATAACCTCCGGTGCGTCGGAAGGCAGTGCAACGTGTTCACATCAGCAAGTTCCGACTTCTGCTCATGACCGCCTGCGCTATCGCCAAACTATGTGTGAGGCGCGTTGTGCTTTCCTTCTCATTTCTTTCGCAGCCTGGCAGCGCGAGGAAACTATAGCTCGAGAGGCTTTCAATCTCCAGAGCTTCTTGGCGAGATGCGTTAGGGAGTGTCAACTGGAAGAGAACGAACAGTCTTCGGATGCCATCGCTGGTACCTGGCACTCGTGGATCCAGCAAGAAACAGACAGGAGAGTAAAATTATTCTCGTTTGCGATCTTAAATCTTCAGTCAATAGCATTCGGCACACCGCCGGTGATCCTCGCTGATGAAATCAATGTTCGTCTTCCATGTAGCTGTCTCGAGTGGATTGCTCCGAACGAACAGAAATGGAATTTTGTCAGGAAACCTGGTCATCGCGAGCAGATGCTGTTTCAAGAAGCTCTCTGTCACGTCCTGAAAAGTCCCGAAGATCCTGCCTTAAAAGACACGCAACTGGTACCGTCTCCATTGGCAAATTACATTCTTATACATTCCATCATCCAGCAGATTCTGCTCGCATACCACACCCTTGAGCCCTATAAAGACGTGAATGGCACCTTACTGAATGGACAAAAGGAGGTCATGCGGTAAGTGACCAGCCTGCCTTCCTAAGCTACTCCATTCTAACTGCTGTCCACTAAACTTGCTGTCTTTCCTGCAGAAATGCCCTTCACGTTTGGACCTCCCTATGGCAGCGAGCCCCTGAATCGAGTCTAGATCCTCGAAATCCTAATGGTCCGGTGACTTTCACTTCAACTGCGCTACTCGGTGTCGCATATATTCGACTCGGATTTAATTTGGGTTCATATCGAATCCTTCGATCCCTTGATGCAAATGAGATAGCGAACCGACTGTTACAGATACCTCCTTGGCCACCCGGACCTCACCTTCTTCCAGCAATCTTGCATGCCACACATGCCCTGAGCATACCTGTTAAATTAGGAGTGAACTTCGTAGCCCGGAGCCATGCTTTTGTTTGGAGCGTGCAACACTCCCTCTGTGGATTGGAGTTTTCAATCTTCCTCAGCAAATGGCTATATTGTATCGCCGACTGCCAGAATCGAAGAACTCTCGACGGTACGTGCCCTCATCCTTGAAGGCTCTGGTGGGTTTAAGGCATACTAGAGCTCCGTGTTAGCTAATCTCTAGCATAAGATCACGAAACCCGACTTATAAGCTGGATAAGCGATATCGTCGAAGAAGGACGTACATCTGGAGATGATGACATGTGGCCGAGACCTTCGAATCTGTCTGACTGTACCTATCTTGGGGTTGCGGTCGTAAAGCTATGGGCCCGCTTAATCAGGGGAAACGAACAATGGTTGTTGCTCAGGGTTGTTGGTGATGCGCTTGATATCTATGCCTGTGCTTGTGAGGGGGGTTCCTTCCATTCCCAGACAGCTACATATGTACAAAACTAGACTCTATTCGGATAAAGTGCTATATATATATACTGTGATTCTTGCATCACCCCTAGGACGGCCATCAATACTTGTGCCTGAATCTCGATCTTCGTCGCAACATCTCCCCGTAACGGTATAGGACGTGGATCCCGATTACACAGCCCATAGTCAAACCAGCCAAAAGATGCACCCTGGGCCCAATCCCCAAGCTCTCGTAGAGCGGCTGAGAGAACATGACAGCACCGCACGCGAATGCACTGCGAGTAAAGTCGGTAGCAGCAAGCACGCTCGCTGCATAGTGTGGGTAGCATGCCGGTATATAAAGGACAACGCACTGCATCAGGATGAAAACACAGCCGGGGTAGATGACTATCCCGACGGTAGGGATAATCCAATGAACTTCGGATCTCGACCCCCAGCTAAAAGGAAAAAGCCCAATGGATGGCCCAAAACATGCATAAAGGGCGGGTACCAAGACAGCTTACGGCTTTGTGAGGCAACCACTGCGTGTTTTAGGCACATATACGCAGTGGATATAAAGGTTATAAACCACAAACGAAATAATTGATCCGACTACAATGGCAAGGAAAGCCGCTCCCATCTCCCCCAAATTGAACCCATACGTTTCTTGATGCACAATTGGGAAAGCTTTAAATATTGAGTAATAAATGCCGTAGGTGAGCGAGGTGTAGCAGTTTAAGAACAGGAAGGCCAGATCCGATTGGGAGGCTACGGCCTATGTGGGTGACCTCCCTACGAGGGCTGAAGAACATGGAACCAGCGCCATAGCCTAGACTGAATCAAGTGTCAGTACCACGAACCGGAAAATTCGAAAGCCGACAGCAAATTTGTTATCTCCCTCTCCAACTTACACATAGAGAGCGAGTCCCAGAGAGGCTTTAGCTTTGCTCACACCATATTCTTCCACAAAAGAATCCTCGCTGGGAGCGTAGATTGGGTCGTACATGTATACGACAAAGCTGTATGCCCCGATGGCCCCAAGGACAAATGCCTTTTTCTTTTGAGACCGATTGTGAGGGTTCTCTTGGTCGCCCTCGGAGTAGCATTCTACGCGAGTGGTACTGTCATTGTAAGCCGGCGGGAATTTGTTGTCGATTATTTCTCTCCGGTTCGCACGCTCTTCAGTGTACGCCACCCAAACTGGTCTATAACACGACGCAGGGCCTGTTTAAAGCAACTATCTCGCAGCCATTGAGCGGGCATTTGGTTGACAGAAATCTTCCTAGCGCAGTAGTGGACATCAGGTTTGGAAGCAGTAGAGACAAGGACATTGCCTTACGAGATCTCCCGATTTCACTCAGAACAACACCGAGACCGCAACTACCGGCTTCGTTCACATTGTGCTCAGGGTTCTCTGATGTTATTAATGCTTTCTTGTGGGCTGGATTTGTAATTCTGATTCGAAGAAGGCCGAACATCTCTACGTGGAGGCGTTGTTGGAGACGGTTGGAGGTGGTATCCACACACGCGTTAAATGTAGCTTTTACGACACGGAGAACCTCGTTCACATCTAAGTTGAGTTTTTCGATGTAATTAATTTTTATTAGCTGGATTTGTAATACTAGTTTGATTACAAGCCGAATATCTTTTCGTGGAGACGTTACTGGAGGCAGTTGGTTGGTATTATCCCTCGAGGCGCCTAATGTAGCTTACACGCCATGAAGAACCAGCCGACGAGAATCCGCAGAAAGAGGGCAAAGGTTTTTAAATACTATTCTGCAACCGATCTCCATCTCAACGCTACACATACGCTTAATCCAATACTTTGTAAAGCGAAGAACGAAGCTCTCATACACCAGATTCATACCCAAGCCCAAGTCATCGATCATGTCTTCTAAACTCTTTCAACCTCTTCAAAATGGCAACACCAGTCTCAAGCATCGAGTCGTTATGGCTCCGCTCACTCGACTCCGCGCGGACTCTCGGCACGTCCCACTCCCTATGACAATAACATACTATGAGCAGCGTGCTTCCGTGCCAGGGACGTTGCTCATCGCCGAAGCAACACAGATCTCGCCTTCTGAAGGGGGACTTCCCCATGGTCCGGGAATCTGGAGCGAAGAACAAGTCCAGGCCTGGAAGAAGGTCACCGATGCGGTTCACCAAAAGGGCAGTTTCATTTTTTGCCAGTTAATCGCTCTCGGCAGAGCTGCTGATCCTGCTCAGTTGCATGACGAAGGGGGCTATGAGCTACACGCTCCCAGTCCTATCCCAATTGAGCCTGGAATGCCAGTACCAGCAGAGCTAGATGAGAGGCGGATTCAGGGCATTATCCGCGACTTCGCAACGGCTGCGAGGAACGCCATTCGGGCAGGTTTCGACGGTGTTGAAATCCACGGGGCTAATGGCTACTTAGTCGATCAGTTTATCCAGGACGTTTCCAATTGCAGAACCGACCAATGGGGTGGGGATATACCCAACCGCGCTCGATTTGCCCTGGAGGTCGCCCGAACAATCGCCGATGTCATTGGTGCGGAGCGGGTCGGGTTTCGTCTGAGTCCATGGAATACGTGGCAGGGCATGAGAATGATGGACCCAATACCTCAGTTTACCTACCTTGTGGAGAATCTGCGACCGCTTGGACTGGCTTACCTCCACATAATCGAGTCTCGCGTCATCAACCATGTGGACTGCGAAAAGCAAGGGAGTATCAAATTCCTTCTAGACGTTTGGGGCAAATCATCGCCAGTTCTTGTTGCTGGCGGGTACAGCCCGGAAAACGTTGAGACTGCCATCCAGAGAGACTATAAGGACCACGAGGTTGCTGTGGTTTTCGGCCGTCACTTTCTTGCAAACCCCGACCTGCCATTTCGCATTCGTCATCAGGTGCCTCTGAACCAATACCATCGAGATAGTTTCTACACAGCTATGCAAGAATATGGCTATACGGACTATCCTTTCAGCGCAGAGTTCTTGAACATCAGGCAATGAGGCTTATATTGGTTGCCGCTAGCTGGTATTTTAATTGCTCATGAATCGAATTGAAGCTCTTTGGTGAAGAACCCTTACAGGGCTGACACCGATTATTGGATACTGCGCCAACTTGATTAGTATTAAAGGCACTCTGCCTCGAATGCAGCGGGATCTAGCTATAGTATGAAGGAATGAGCTAGCATCGTGCTTAGGATCTTATCCTTCTCTGTACGAATAAGCAGATACATCATACAGATCTCGGAAGGGCCAACTTCGAATATGGCCAGAATCAGGACAGGCTACTGGAAGTTCGTGCCTACAGCAAGGTTTCTGTATGTCGTTCTCGAGTTGGAAAAGGAAGACCAGAGGAGCAATGAAGACAAAATGCACAGGAGAACGACCATTCAGTTCGCGGTGTATAGTTGGGAATCAACAATGTAAATACTCTCAGCAACTCCGACTCGGAAGGCCTAGAACACGTGTGGCCCCATATCTTCTGATGTGACCCATTGATGAGCATTGAATTCCAATTCTAGGAACTCTGCCACCGCCCGTCGAAGACAAAGCGAGCCCCAAGGCCCAGTGCTGTAAGTCAGATGGCTGGTAGGAAGGACATCCCTCTGAATGCAGGAACTAGATCGCTATTGGTCGACGAATAGTGAGGGATAGATCACATACTTTGTCTTCAATAAACTCCACTATATCTTCATGTAACAGACTCAGTCGCTGGCTTAGGTTGACAATTGTCGTGCCTCCTGGCAGTACGAGGTCACTCTATCTGACTGTGCTCGTACTGTCTTTACAGTAATGAATTACTACGAAGTGAATGCCTAATGGTCTCCGACCGATTCACTTGCTAATATGACTGGCAAAGCCTGTGATAGCTGCTCTAAAGTTTTAACGCCCACACATTTTCAAAATATTGACAGCCATGGTGGCACGCCCAACCCGAGCCCTATTCACCTACTATTTCAATAAGTAACTAGTAAGACAAGCTTTAGAGTTCAGATCGACAGAACCTCTCTAAAAGATATATAATCCAGTGGTATACAAAGGCCATGAAAGGTACCACAGTCTTGCCTAACATAACTCCAAAAGCCACTGTCTCATCTATCAATATCGACTACAAATATCAATTTATTGAACTATTTTATGAGGTAAACCACCTTCCTGCTGTGGAAATCAAGCGCGCAAGAAAGTCTCAAAATCAAGAATGTCCATTGGCGACAACCAGGGGGCTATATAGAAACTCCGAGGATCTCCCAAGGTCCCATTCTTTGGCCATAGAGTGAAATATACAATGAGACATCAGTGTAACTAGCAGTGCAAATTAACCACTTATATTCACATGTTGGTTTTTAGCCCTTCTGTTGCTCCCACTTGGCCTGGCGCCGCCACTCCCGAGGCCAAGTGGACCTCATCCCTTCACGTAATGCCAAGCATATAGTTTTTAGTATTAACGTTATAACCAGTAAAAAGAGGTGCTAAAAAGGACGTGCTTGGCATCTGGCAACCAGCAGATCACATCGCTGAAGGCTCTAGCTATCTAATCACGACAGCAATGCAAATTGCGCACTTCAAATGACTACAGATAAAACGTTGGTGCTTTAGGAATGTCTGGCTGCCAGTAACGGGGCGCTATATCCGACTTAACATACCGGAAAAGTCACAATCTACCTCTGCGAGAATTCATACTAGTCCCCCGTCCCCACAGATAGAGAGACATACAGGGCCGCTATTTGGACAGTATAGCAATCCGCACCACAGCGAACTCACTACTGCCCGGTACTTCGCCAGAAAATCGCGCATGTGGATAAAGTAGAATCATCTTCTGGAGGTAATATATCGTATGGCTCCTTTTAGTTTAATTTATAAGGAGGAGGGTGCTCCTCCCTCATCAGTTCAAATCCATCAGTTCTTAAAGCAATGCCTGATTTCGTTGATCGCCTTGCCGACACAGCCTTTTATCTCTCCCTTTCTGGTATCATTCTCTTCAACAGCCTTAATCACTATGTTATTAGCAAAGAGTCTGTTGATTACGACGCTTTGCTGTCTTACAACATCTTCGCTGGCTTCTACATGGCCCTCTACCATCGATGGAAAGCCACTGCCCGACAAGTGATTCCAAATCAGCCTCAATGAAACGAGTCTCGACACTCGTGATGTCGCCGAAATTGCCGAACGTACTCCAATCACTGTATGTGAACGGACAGTTGTCGCAGTAGGTGCCTGCGTTGGCATCGCCACATATGTTGTCGGCTTCGCGAGAAACATCGCTACAACCATCAAGGATCTATCCAACGGGGAAACTGCAACGCTATGCACGGCACCTTTGAGGGCCTGAGGTGGACGTACTACTCTTCTGGCCGCAACTGTGATACCACTGCTCAACATGATACCATTGCCGGTGCTATCAAGAAATACCTGGACAATGTCGAGCATAATAATATTTGCGGTACTCAGTGCCTTCGCATGGACCATGGTGGAACCTGGGATGGATGGTTGAAGCTGGGCCCCGTTGGTAGCTTCAACGAGAATGCCTACTGTGGTCCCCCTCCTTATCCTTTGACAGCTGTCTCTCCGGGGGTAACAACGATATCTGAAGGGGAGTCAGGAATCTGAATTGAAAAGAAAGTTGGGGATGGGAGACCTTTATTAGTTGGATATCCTAGGATATTGGAACGAGAGCAAGTCATGTTCCCAAGCTAGAAGAGCTTTGGCGTGTCGTCGACAAGAGCCCTTGCTGCATTGTCAACAACGCGATCTTGTTGGTTATTGAGTCTATGTGGCTTTGAGTCCTATTCCTTATTTAGCTCTACTCTGAAAATCTCATGGCAACACCACATTAAATCAGTAGAATAATCCAAAGAGAAGGCCTATTGCTTCTGTCGATACTCGGCTTTTGAAATAAAAAAGAGGCTATAGCGTGATGTTGATGGCCCTCGGCAGGTTCATTAATGGCTCCGAGGATGGTTGCATGGGAGACCACCGCACTGGCAGGAGATGCACCAAGATTGCACATTCGAGGAATGTCTATACTGACAGTACTTAATAGATTCGGTTAGACCGTGCGATATCCGATGAGTGTTGCATTGTCGCTGACTCAATACTGCTGGCAAGAGAACTGAGAAAATGAAGGACATATTGCATCTGATCCCTATTCGCCTTCGGCCGATCATATAAAACCTTTTATTGGAGCATTCATGACTCCTGAGGAGTGCATCCAGTAAAATACTTGGAGAAATAGTGATAGACACCCTCGACATCATGTATCTGGGAAGTTCTTCTACAGTATCCTGAAGTTCACCTTGATTCATCACCAGAAGTCACCACACCTCCTCCTTGGGTTAATTGGAATACCAGACCTTTCTAGTACTGATGAACTCGCTCGCCCAGCCCCTACGCTTACAGCAGCTTTTGGAAATTATTATTTACTGGTAAACAAAGTTTACTCACAGAGGGATTCATTTAGTGCCGCAACTCGGTCACAGGTCTTGAAGCGTAGTCAATACCCCACCCAATCCTGATCCGTCCTTGACAAACTAAAGTAAACTGACCTCTCCAGGTCAGCCTGAAACTCCACAAATTTCCTTGCGTTCGTCTTCCTGCTAAATAGCACATCAAGCTCCAAATACGTGAGGCCTCTTGGCTCCGGTAGACGGAAATAAGACCAAACCAAACAATATAGACAAGTGCATTCATACAGAAAACAAGCCTTACCCTTCCAATTCTAGGCGGGGGGTGAAGCATGCGCGGTGTGATGATGTTCATGGTGATGCTGCTAATGTTAAACGCGATGCGCGCGAGAACGATGGTCTTGATACGTAGGCGCGAGGAGGGAATCTCAGCAACAAAGACGTAGCATACTGGGCCGATTGTAACAAACGAATGTAAGAAATACTATGAGGGATCCCAGGGCCCACGAGGTGGAAGGACTCTTCTCCATTGTTCCGATTCCGCCTGGCTGTACAGGTTTTCCCTATATCTTCGTGCCAATGCAGAGGATTTCGGCAAGGACATGCTTATTATTAGATATCTTCCTGTATTGGTAGTATCTCGGAATCGCTCTTCGTCTGAAGCTAGGAAATAGATTCGTCCAGGGAGACTGAAATGTTAAGTCCCGCGCAAGAAAATGCTTGAACGGTTCCAGGCGCAATGTAGGTAAGCCTCCAGAGAAAGCAGCTTAGGGGGTTATCCCGCTACCGGAACATCGGTCCGGGGTGATTGAAGAAGTTATTGACTCATGTACAAGTATCTCTACACTCCCGACACGACGAGGATAGCTGAACCAACCCAATCACCTTATGGCGCTGTTTATCATGTTGCAGATAAGAGCCTTGTATTCAGCTTTAGAAGAAAGCCAAATATAGGATTTGCACATTTGTCGAGTTCATGTCGGTGTTCCTTCACTTTGTTCCACGCACGTAAGCCTGTGATACTGCTCTCAAGGATAGGCGCGACTTTCTTCTTCATATCATGGTGGATAGCCAAAGAGCATACGTATGCAGGATATGTGCAAGAGGAATCGCCTTCGCATTGAACTCTAGCGAAGAGGCTGTTCGGCATGGCCTCATCATGGCTGTGGGAGGGTTTGCTGAGGAAGATGAATTCATGGAAGTTATCTGCAAGGATTGTCATTCTGTGCTCTGCTGGCAGAGGGTGGCTGCTCGCCTTGGGCTCTCTCTCTTGTCATCGTCAGCTTAGGCTCCATCAAGGAAACATTTTTCACAATGCGCATTGGGACATTATGATGTTGTTTGGCCTGCATTTACACCACGTTGAAAGAATTTTCAGGAAACCCATCATGCTGAGATCAACCTTGAGAGATTCATTGCATCAATTTCTTTCCTGTTACATGGTAACTGAGTGTGAGACATATTCCTCGACAAGGCCTTGTTAAGATGAAGGTATTTTGTGGATCTCGTCAGCTCAGAGCAATCTAGTTTGAACCGTCTTGAGAAGAACCATTGTTTCGAAGCTCGATATCTTAATTGGCCATCTTTAACGTCAATGAGCTAATCATCACTCCTCCATATATACAACAGCTTCAGCTCACCATCACCTCTCTTCGTTATCTACATCTCGATTGATAATCTTGCGCTAGCACTTGGCCCTGCTACACAAACGTCCTGGCTGTTTCTTTTGTTGATCCATCTTCATTCATCCAGTTATCTACCGAACTTCGGCTTCTTGGAATACTTTTACCAATACCTTACAGGAGCTTCGTGAATAAACCGCATACCCACTGATCCGCTTGCAGAATCTCAAGATGCGTCGCACGCGAGATGTAAACGAGGAAACTCCGATCGAAGAGCGGAAACAGAAGAAAATGCTGGAGTAAGGACTCTTCAATATAGAAATTTATACATGAACGATCTAACAGACTCATTTATAGACTCAATCTGGAGGGAAAGTTCTTTGACTTCACGATCACAATCCAAGATGAACATTTCTATGTTTCCAAGCTCGTGTTATCTACTATCTCTCCATACTTCGCCAACAAGTTCGAGACAGAGTGGAAAGTGAGTACCTCAGCGCAGACACATCTTAATCCAGCACAGTGACAGATCTAACGCGTGCCAGTTCGAAAAAATGGTGAATCTGAAGCAAAAGCACAGTGTCGAAGCCTTCTCGACTATGATCGAGTACATATACACCTTCGACTATGAGCAACATACCGGGTGGCTTTTTGATTTCGAGCCTTCCGAATTGGTAGCCTTCCATTTTGAACTTTGCCACATGGCTGAAGTGTACGAGATCCCTGGTCTCAAAGCGCAAGTGCTGGCGGACCTTCCCTTAGCCGTCAAAACCTTAGACTGTCCAGTAGACTTTTACGATGTGCTGATGGACGGCCAATACATCTCTGACTCGGAATCTGGTAAGCTCTTTGTGGCCACCGTCGCGGATAACTTCCACATCATGGATGCTTTTGCAGACCTGGACAGAGTGAAGCTGTTCCTGGTTAAAACCCCTATTTTTGCGGCGAACCTAATCTCCGAGCTTATGGAGAGACGTTTCTTAAATAGCCAGTGAGGCGATCTATGAGCATGGTCTGCTTTCCCGCATCAGAACTCCATCTCTTTTGTTGTGACACATGAATCGAAACGGCAAGATTGAAACTTGATTTGCCTGCGCTGTTATCAGATTCGCACTACTGGTTTTCTTTCTGTTTTTGGCGAAATCGAGGCCGAGGTGCTCTCGGAGGGTTCATTAGGAAAGATTGTATCCAGGCGTTGCAAATCCCATATAAGCTACATGGCTGCTCCATCATATAGACACCAGAGAATGATAACTAAGAAGTAACCTAGCACAAACTACCATCACTGCACGACTGATCACAGTGATAGGTACCAATCCAGTTATCCTCCCCATAAACATCCAACCCCACCATCCACCCATTTAGCACCTGGTGCAAGTAATCCAGATTCTGCGGCATACCATGCGCCTTACCCTCGGCCGAACAGGGGTAGTCCTGCGTCAAACCGCGGTTCCCGTTAAGCCCACTCCCTGCTGTAAACCACCCATTGTACGCACCCAGCGCCTTGATCGCGTTACCCCCCGACGCGTCGAGCTGCGACTTGAGATAGTGCGTTCCCGCGTCCACGTTATCCTGGATACTATCCGTGCACTGGCCGTTCGGGTAATTGTCGCATGAGACCTGCATCAGGCCTGGTGTGGGACCACCAGCGTTGGCATTGCAGGAGGACTCCTGCATTGCGATGACGGCGAGGATGACCGGGTTGACGCCGTACTTGGATGCGCTGCTTTGGAAGTAGCTGTCGTACTGGGCGCAGGCAGAACCTATGCCGTTGTAGAAGTCTTGGAGGCTGATGGTGTAGACGTCGTCGATGGATAGGAAGGGAGGGTTCCAGCCGCTGGTGGTGATGCCGGTGTTAAGCCAGGCTTCGGAACTGGATTTTGCTGTTAGCAGTAGTGCGGCTAAAGGTAGAGGGGGCCAAAGGGACAGTACCCGTTAGGGCCGGTTCTTGGGGTGACATTTTCTGTTGCACCTTGCGCCTTTGGATTTTTACCAACACCTGGGTTGGCAGACTGAGCGGTGGCGCCAATAGCAAGGGCCAGAGAAGTCAGCGTGATGCTTTTAAGAACAACCATTGTTGCGCTTGCTATTGTTTGTGTGTGGTGCCAGGGGAGTTGAAAGACGAATGTCTGTGTCAATCGATTCAGTCGGCAAGGGAGCTGTTTAAATAGCTCAGTTCTTCCAACCGAAACGCTCTGCCTACAGCATGCATTATTTCCTTCAAGGTATCTTCATCAAAACCAGCATGTTGATGCGAATTGACCAGTTTCTCAAAGGGGTAATTCCGCAGTCCTGACAATCATGGAACGCGACCAATCAAACGCGGCAACTCCTCTATGGGGCCATAGGTCCGAGCTAGTCTGACAGGTGTGACACTGATCTGTTTGATCTGAATCATAGCAGTAATTTCATTGGCAAGCAGGGTAGCAGAGTTGTCTTAGCGTCGGGTTGGCATGCTACCTCAGTGCGTCGATCTCGGTATATGCCTGGCAGCATTCCGGCCTGTACCGGCAACAGACACGAGTATGGAATAGTCTGATAATTTCGTCTACTTTGAGACTGCTAGTAAGCGCCAGCTTCGGGTGTTGACCATCGAATAAGTGTGGCATCGTGCAAGTGATTATGTCAGCAGTGCCGATCGCATCGTCTCTATACCAATTCCCCCTTTAGGAAGTGCAAAAGGTTACATCTAAAGTTGGGGGCGTTTTTACAGTAACATTCTCACTTTAGTAAATGGAAAGGCATAATATCTGCAGGAAACATTCTTCTTCTGTCTTCTGAACTAGTTACCGTTAAATTATAGCAATCCTGAGATGCCTTGATTGACTCATCGACCAATATCTGGTGGTACGGGGAATTGTTTGAAACAATTTCAAGACACTGGTATTGCTGGTATTGCTGGCTGGATGGTGACTTGCTAAATATCGCCATCACAGCTGTCCAAATTATTCGGTAAGCGACTGACCGCGACGTGAGATTGATGTCATTACCTTCCAGACAGTTCTAGCCACTAGCGCCTCCTTGGATCAACTGTCAAGAACGGTATGAACATCAAATTTGTGGAACTTATCGCCTGAATTGAGAATCTAGAGCTATTTTGAAGCAAATGTGGGTGTCCCCAGTGCCCCGTAGACTAAACTAAGCATAACCCATCTGCCGGTCGCCATACCTCTGTAGTACCGCTTCCTGAACGTCCGGGGTAAAGAGCATTTAGCAGAGATTGCTGGATTCAGAGTGTCATATCAAGCTTCGATGGAGTTCTACAGCAACGTTTTCCTAGACTGCGAGCGCAACTTTGTGTGCCACTAGATGCTTGACCTCCCCGCGAAGTATTCTAGAACACCGGTTGAAATTGCTTTTACACATGCGAGGCAAGACAGTACTGTTCTCTTGATGAATTATTGCTCGCAATCTTCGTGCTTCAGAGATGACCGGATTTATGGGGAACATATCATTCTCGGGGTTTCTGCTGTATACCAGGGAAGATAACTCTTCAACCATCCTACACTCGGCAGTACTGCCTTCAGCATAATTTTACCGACATGAGGCACTACGTCGGTCATTCTTCGCCCAAAGTCGACGATGGATCGGCGATTCCTCGAGGCGACAAGAGTGAAGAGGCAAGAATGCTTTTCTTGTGTGACATAATCTGGGATCAAGTGGCATTGCTCTTGGTATGGGGCGTTGACTCGGCAGTTTTAGGGCTAAGGTTCGACTTGGAAGTATTGGATTCTATCTTTTGTTAATAATGAAAATGTCAATCATAACCCTATCTAGGACCTACAATTTCTTCTACATAATTTTTCACCGAGAATTCCCTAGCATAGACGTACGAGTTACGACAGCGGCTGCCTACAGGAGCCACCGCAAAAAAGGGCCAATTCCCTTTTTGCAAGTTGTCAATAAAACGTCCCATGGTTCATGGTTCGCCTGTTGACGAAATGCAGAGGAACTGCAACGGGATTGGTGGGAATCTAAAAACGTAATCCACAACCGAGCGAGCCACCCAACCGAGCGAGCCACCTCAGAACCCCTGAAACCTTGCATCCTTGAGATCATCATCAAACCCAAATTTCCATCCAATATGGCATCAAAACAATCAGATTCAATAGTCAAATCAGAAGATCGCATATCTCTTGCAGTCAAAGCATACCAAAATGGCCAGTTCAAAAGCATACGAGCAGCAGCAGCGGCATATGATGTTCCTCGATCTACTCTTACACATCGAATTAGTGGCCGCAAAGCACGGGTTAATGTACCAGCCAACTGCCAGAAGCTTAGCAGTCTAGAAGAGGGTTCTCTAAAGAAATGGATTCTGGATATGGATGAGCGCGGCCTACCACCAACTCAGGATACTGTACGCAAAATGGCAGATATCTTACTATCTCATCGAAATCCAGGCCTATCTACTGGAAAGAACTGGGTCAGCAACTTTATTAAACGGCATAATGATCTTATATCAAAATATACTCGCAAATATGATTACCAGCGTGCAAAATGTGAGGACCCAGAAGTCATTAACCAATGGTTCAATCTTGTTAAGAATACTATAATAAAATATGGTATTCTTGAACAGGATATCTACAACTTTGATGAGACTGGCTTCCAAATGGGTGTAGCCCATACGGCAAAGGTTATCACTGCATCCCGTCATCGAACAAGCCGCGTACGAGCTATACAGCCAGGGAATCGCGAATGGGTCACTGTTATTGAATGCATTAATGCCTCTGGATGGCCTCTTCCCCCTATGATTATCTTCTCTGGCAAGGTCCACCAGTCTCAGTGGTATCAAGATATCAACCCTGACTGGATAATCGGCCTGAGTGATAATGGGTGGACGACTAATGACCTTGGAGTATTATGGTTAGAAAAGGTCTTTCAAAAGCATACTCTGGCTCGTACAATTGGGAAATATCGTCTTTTGATTCTTGATAGCCATGCTAGTCATGAATCAGCAGAGTTTGATCTTTTCTGCAAGAATCATCAGATTATCCCTCTTTATATGCCTTCTCATTCATCTGATAAACTGCAACCTCTTGATGTTGGCTGCTTTGCACCCCTAAAGGAGGCATATGGGAGAGAGGTAATGAGAAGCATTCAAAATGGCATTTGTCATATTGATAAGGAAAACTTTCTTGATCTCTATAGAGAGTCAAGAAAGGTCTTATCATCTCAAAATATCCGCAGTGGTTTTGCAGCTTCTGGTTTAGTTCCTTTGGACCCCCAAAGGGTACTAGATAAGCTTACTATCAAGACTATTACCCCCCCTACTACTGCTCATGGACCTGCGGATATGGAATGGACTGCAAAGACCCCTTATACTACTGCTGAGGTACAAAAGCAGATGGAGCTTATCAAGCAGCTTATTAAACGCAACTCCCAAAGTCCCCCAAATGAGGCTATCCGTCAGCTCGCAAAGGCAGCTGAATCCACTATGCATAAAGTTCTTCTCCTAGATCAGGAGATAAAGGGGCTACGCGCAGCAAATGAGAAGCAGAAGCGAAAGCGCGCAACCCCTAGATCTTTTATTGCTACTGGAGGTGTTCTAACAGGTGCTGAAGGCCAGCAACTTGCCCAAGAAGCTATACAGATGATGGAACCAGTTGCTAAGAAGCGTGCGCCACCACGATGTAGTAATTGCCATCAAATTGGTCATACTAGAACAAGCTGTTCTAGTAGACCTAGATAATTCGAATATTCAGACATTCTGCTTTGGTTTGGTTCCATAGTAGTAAAAATATCTCATGGTTTTCGACCGCGGCCAGAATCATGTTCGGGTGGCTCGCTCGGTTGGGTGGCTCGCTCGGTTGTGGATTACGTAATTTCCCCTTGCTTAGTCACATAGCTGACCACTCATGATTTGACATCCTTAAAAAGCACAGTTTTTTTGTGTTTCTGTCCCTGGCCCAGTGAAATGTAACCATGGTTCGCCCACCTTGCACACAAAGCACCTGAAATGAAGGCCTCAGGGGAGTTCTGAGGGAATCCTGATTTTTGAGAAAGCCACGAATAGGCACAGAATCAAAGAGAGCCCATGAAGCAGGGAACGATGACTTTGTCCTTGGATGCTTGTATGTGGAAATAAGTTACAGGTCTGGATTTCTACTTAACATCGATTAGCAAGAAAAACCCTAGGAATCGAATGAAAGTCATCAATAGGTAGACTGCAATCTCTAGCGACAGAGGCCTGTGGAGGAGAGCCCCACCCACAAGACTTTAGGCCCTTCTTCTGATATCGTTATTCGTTTCCACTTTCGCCAATAGCCCGTTTGAGTGTTCTGATCATTTCTCGGTACTTGGCCATGAGGTAAAAATCTAGACCTCCGGCGATATGCTCTTTGTCCTTTGAGTAAGTTTCACCTTACAATGTCAAGTCTCATGGCTTTTTTTGTCTTTTGACGTTGAAACACAGGCATAGTAAAGAGACAATCAACACAAAGACGTACCAAAAATAATTTAAGGGCCAAAGCGACGCAACTTGCCTCCAACAACCAGACTCTATGTATTGCAGAGCCAGGGTCCCACACAGAGCCACTGGCCAGGGGAAGTAGCCAATGGCGTTGAAAGGGCGTACAATTCAGGTACCGCCCATTGATTCCGGCCAATCCCAAAACAATACCAGAGATTCCTTTCAGTGTCTTCAATCAAACTGTCCAATAGGCTACTGTCAGGCTGTCAACGAGCACACGACCGCATGGATCTAGCCCATGGCATCGTCTTTGTCGGAACCCCAGTCCCAGCAACTTGCCCATGCTGACGCATTCCCTGATCCATCGTCCTCGATTCTAAAGGCTCTATCCAAAGGTTCAACCTCCCGAACCAAGGAAAATGACATCCACCAGCGCCATGGGTGTTCGAGAACACACACTCGACCTATAAACAGTGGGGTGGTGGGCATCAGAATTTTGTTCTTGGGATGTTATAAAAGGGCCTCAGAGGGACTCTTTTGGAGTCTTCCATTTCAACCACCGCATTCATTAACCGTGTATATACACACTTCCATTCTCTAAGTCTTTTTTGGCTTGATACGACACTCTCTTTGAATTATCTATTCATCGTTACTCCAGTCAGTAACGACACTGCCATTCCTTCAGTCTTCCGTAACTATCTGAAGCACGCTTAACGCGACACCCACTCTCTCTCAAAATGCAGTTCACCAAGTCTCTCCTGCTGCTCGCAGCCCTCACCTCCAGCTCTCTGGCCCGTCTGCAAGGCCACGAGCGCCGCCAGTACTCCTCCGGCTGGACCGCAACCCCAGCCGGAGACTCCTACTCCACCGCTGGTTTCGGCAGCCGCACCTCAAACAGCGGCAGCGGCGAGACCTACGCCGGCAACGTCGGCAACCCCTGGGGTAGCAACATCATCGAGGTCTCCGCTGACTCTGCCTCCAACTACAAGAACGTCGCCCAGATCAGCGGTCAGAACACTGAACCCTGGACCGTCGTCTTCTGGAACAAGATCGGCCCTGACGGCCAAATGACCGGCTGGTACGGCAACGCCGCTCTGACCCTCACCATCAACGCCGGCGAGACCAAGTACGTCGCGTTCGACGATGACACCAACGGCGGCTTCGCTGCCGCCGCGGGCAGTATCCCCAAGGACTCGAACGGCGGGTATGCCACGACCTGGGGCGAGTTCGACTTCACCAGCGCCGGGAACGGTGGCTGGTCTGGTTTCGATGTTTCTGCCATCCAGGCGCAGAATGCGGGCATGACTGTGCAGGGCATGAAGATCTGTGATGCGCTGGGTGGCACCTGCTCCAGCATCGCTCCTGATGCGGCGTCCGTTAACAATGCCTATACCTCTGCCGAGTCGGCTATTGGGGGTATTGGTGGAAACCTCGCTGGTGGTGGTCCCGTTCGCCTGGCTGTTACCATTGGCTACAGTGGTTAAGTTTGGATAGTTGGACTACAATGAACTTGGAAAATTATCGAAAATTATATAGATAGATTATGGTTGCTTTGATAGCGACTACTGACAAATGACACTCGTTTGTATTATTGGTTATCCCAATAAAGTAGAAACCAAGACAAATCCTAGTACTACCTGATTCGACGATTGGATTGGCTGTATCAAGATAATCATCCGTCCAAGAGTCCGATGTAGTATGCCTGATTCCTCAAGCTCTCCCAGTGATCCGACGTACACTCAGAATCCCGAAAATCATCGGCCTTCGCGATGCCAAGACCTGTGGCACCACAGCACCTTCGATGGAGAGGACATCATCGGTTATGATTCTATATACAAGTGTATTCCTCATAGCCAATAACTGTTCATATCACCGATATTATCTCCAGAGTTATGGCTGATGAAAACTCCTGTCGTCATGCCTGGTACCACCAGTAAGGTATAAATTCCTCGATAACCCCTGGACACGGTCTGGTCCCAGCAGTCTTCAAGACAACTACGAAATTGGACACAACAGTTGGATATCTCCAAAAAGTCATAAAAATGGCTCAAGTTTGGCTCATCACTGGCTGCTCCTCAGGCTTTGGCCGCGAGTTTGTCACTCAAGCCCTTTCTCACGGGGACAAGGTCATCGCGACAGCACGCACCATCGCCAACATCACCCATCTCCGCGATGCAGGCGCTGCAATCATGCAGCTAGATGTGACAGCCTCACAGGAAGAACTGGACCAAAAGGCCTCTGATGCGATCGCTATCTACGGGAAGGTCGATATTCTCGTGAACAATGCAGCATACACGCAGTTCGGCACATTAGAAGACATGAAGTAAGTCTCTGACGTTATTAACAGGATGAAAATTAACGGGTCCTCCGTCCAGCAATGGAGATTACCTCTCCCAATTCACCACCAATGTCTTCGGAACCATCAACACAACTAGAGCGTTCCTGCCGCATTTCCGTGAACGCAGGCAAGGCGTGATTGTTAACATTGGCTCGATGGCAGCGTGGGAGTCGTACCCTGCCGTCGGGGCGTATTGCGCCTCCAAGGCTGCGCTTCGCTGTAAGTCCACCTTGGTAACTAGAACTTGGGAGTCCAACTGACAGAACAGATGCAACGGAGGCCCTCAGTCAAGAGACTGCTTCTCTCGGAATCAAAGCGCTCTTGGTCGAGCCTGGCCAGTTCCGAACTGAGCTCCTGAGTGCCAAGAATAGCATGTTTGTTGAAACCAGATTCCCCGAGTATCGGGAGTTAACCGAGGCTTCGTTCAAGACATTCCGCGATGCGAACGGGAAGCAGAGAGGTGATCCCCAGAAAGGCGTTGCGCGTATCATTGATGTGGTAAAGGGTGAGAACGCGGCCGAGGGGAAAGAGTGGCCGAAGGAGCTAGCGCTGGGGCCGGATGCGGTCGCGGCCATTCGGAAGAAGTGTCAGGATACCTTGAAGAAGCTGGATGAGTGGGAGGAGTTCTCTTGTGGGACGGATATCTAAGTCTCGTTTGCGTGTGCGACCGTATGGCACTCCTCAGATGTGGATAGCAATGGACTTGTTGGAATGCAGACGATGGATAGATCTTGACAGACAGTCGAATAAGAAGCGCATATGTACGTCCACGGTTGTGCGGACGATGTATTTGAGAATCCAGCGTTAGGGCTGCATGCACCATTCAAGAGTCTGATCAATAGAAAATGATCGTCCGTCTCAATCATCCATGGCCTCGAGACACGCATCCATCATCCGATCGAGAGCTTCAGCGCGTTCCGTAACAGTGATATACTCTCGCTCTGCAAGTTTACTCAAGGCTTCACCAACCCAGTGCTGACAGTTCCAGTCCAGGTCCAGCGGCCCGTTCTTGATTAGTGTTTTGGCGACGGTGGACTGGATGGGTCCTGAGCCGACCACCTCGGAGATATCAGCCACAGGCACCACTTTTGCGAGCGATCCCACAACAGAAGGATCCTTGTTCTTGATCTGAGCATATTCGAACATTCCCTGCGTGCCCAGGATGTGCATGATGAAACTTTGGTTGTCGGGGAGCTTCAGGTACAAAGCGGTGTGGCGATATTCATGGTAGTCCAGAGGTTCGCCTTTGTAGACAAGGACATAGAGTTTGAGCATTTGGAAGATGATGGGAGAGAGTCCCAATAACTCTTGCTATATCGTACCACAGATTTGCTCCAGAGAGTGCAGGGGGAAAATATCAACACAGCTGTGATGCTTTCGGCCAGCAGGCTTACCTAAGCGGCTGACGGTGGGGCACTGTGCAGTTTCTTCAACCAATCACAAAACATTTCTGCCAATGATGTCACATCCCTATTCCCTCCAAATTATTTACTCCTACTCAAGATCATTTAGTTATATCCTGATATAGTAGAGAGGTACACACATATTGAGTAGTAATGCTACTCAGAGACCTCATTGACGTATTAGATGCTCAAACTTTGTGAATTTGATCCAACTTAACATTTTCGACATATATTCCGGAACCAATAAAATCGCCCAGTTGTATATATATCAAAAATCTTCATCTGGCCCAAACACAGCCACTACCTTTGAATTACTGCTAATACAGAAGTATCGTGATGGTGGCTGTGAAAAATTCTTCGTCAATCTGATTCTGCCTTAACATGACCTCTTAGAACTGGCATCCTCAATCCACGGTGAGAACTCGCTGCATCGCAGAGTTAATAGATTCTAGATGTCCCAACGCATTCCGGCCCCTCAGCAGGTGACAACATCAGCAGACTGTTAGCAGCCTAGCAGTCACCATCTCAAGTGTAGCCCTGCCTACCCGACATGTCATCCCAAGCACTAGTCCGGGGTGAGAAGAGGACCATTTGTGAAAATACCAAGCATCGCATCACTCTAGCTGAAGAGACGCCGGATGTAGCTTACCCAGTCGATTGTCGATCATGCATCAGATGTGCAGATCATCCGTTGCGACCCCCCAGGCCGCCAGGATCTGGTCTTCTGAGACACGGTTAATGACGATCTTAGCATCGAGGTTTTGTGGATCATTTACTTGACGTGCATGGCGACTGTCTATGCTGCATTCATAGGGAGAAAAGGTACTATAACTCTTCGGGTGGTGTATATATAGCTAGCAGCTTGAGACTTACGGGATGCTGTCAGATATGCAGCAGTTGTTAGATAGACTTGGTGACCTAATGTCTATACAGTTCGTTTTTATTCTGAAGAGACAAAGCTTGAATGGGATAAGCCAGTAAGACCAAGATAATAAGATCCTTGTCATTCCAGCCGTTAGATGAGCAGAAGACGGTTTACCATTATATTCATTGGCGGGTACTCTAATTAGGAACTTCGAGTAGAGCGATAGCTTGCCATACAATAGTAACAACCAAGGAAATGGAGTCATGCCCTGTTAATTTCTTGTACATTGAAATTGTTTTCATGTTTCCAATGTCCCTGGGCAGCTTTATCATGATTCTCCGAAGCAGAGAAAGATGTAGATGTAGTCAATGACAATGGGGACTGAATCTGTCCCAAGACAAATGGGGAATAATCTTTATTTTTTGCCATGAATTTGCACAACAACTGATGCATTATCTATGGAAGGGACAATAGATACTCTTAAAATATCTAAAACATTGAGCACATAAGCCTTGAATAGTAATAAAGACTGTCTCAGTGATTGAAAGCACATCCTCAAAATGTCCGTGCAGATTGTGAACTACTTCTCGGACAGTCCTTGGTAGCAAGGATCTACGCACGATAAGCTTTATTCCTCGCGTTTCCACGAGAATCTGCAATGTCCGGATATCCGGAGGAAGACAGCATGGACAGGGTGTCAATGCTCAGTGCCTGACATCAATGGCCGTTGATAAGAAGACTGGGGTAAAGAAGGAACACTCCGGTTGGTCATCAGGCGCCGTCACTTGCATTATCTTTGCAGAAATTAATATCAAAACCAATCTAAACTGATAGAGTACTCCTCCTTTTCAGCGGGACGTTACATCGACCATCTGCCGATAACAACAGCCTAATCTATTTAGTCTCTTGACCATATTTGCCAAACTCCCCCTTCGATGCTTATCATTCGCCAAGATGCTTGATCAAAGCTTGGTGTACCACGCCATCAAGACGCCAACTCTGTTAGTCTCCGCTACAGTAGCATCTGACCTCCTTCCTCTAGCCCCTTTGAACACTAGAGGAACCGCTAACTCTGGAGTAAATTGTAATTTGCCTGTGCACTCTTGACCTTCCTTCTTGGCTATTACTATCATTGAGTATATTGATCCTATCCGAGCACCCCGAGCACCGTCGGAGGTCCGTTGATTTGCCGAAAAAGCGAATTTGGCAGAACTTTTCAAGATTGCGCGATAGGCTGGCCATGAAAGTCCCGCACGGCAAGTATCTACACAGTGGCTTCATTCACAGTCTTGGTCTCATTGGCGTGCGTATACTTTGTTGCTTGTAGATCTTGGCAGTGCTTGACTCTTATGGCAATGATCGCCAAGTAATGGTGGACATGACCTGCTCCCAACAGCATACCCTCGAGCCCGCTGTTATCAATCCTCTGATGGAATTAAGGAGGGAGGGGTAGACGTTCTTCACACAGAGGCCAATCAAGACCCTCAGAGAAGCGACATTCCGAGCTTATTTGGCCCAGACTCATCTAGTCCTTTGGTCTCGTCGGGCTCTCTCATAGCGAGGCGAGAAGATCTTCGCTGGACTTGCTTAATTTGCACCTCAACTCACTTATGAGGAACGGAGAAATGACAGTGCAGGTGTGCTTCTCGCGGAGAATATCCCAAATTCGATCACTATATGTGCATCAGAGGCTATTTTCCATCGGTCTCCGGTCCTTCTCCTCACCCCATGATAGAGCGGAGTCGCTTGGATCCTAACTGCTTAGTCCAAAAGCATTAAGCGAGAAGGCATCTTGTGTAGGAGTCTTTTTTACCACAGAGATAAGGAATACGTGATCTGGTGCTCAAGTATAAATTGAAGCTGAATTCCCCGTCCAAAATGTCTAGCAGCTCAAGCAAGACTCCCAGTTTCTTGACTACCATCAGCGCTCAAGCTCATCATCGACAGCAATCCTCTCTTCCGCAGTCGTAATCGTCACCATCATGAAGTTCACTTCCGTCCTCGCCTCCGGCTTGCTCGCCACTGCTGCCATTGCTGCCCCCCTTACAGAACAGCGTCAAGCTCGCCATGCCCGTCGTATGGCCCGCGCCTCCAACAGATCGAGCCACCCTCCCTACAAGCCCGGCACCTCTGAGGTTATCAAACTCAGCAACACCACTCAGGTTGAGTACAGCTCTAACTGGGCCGGTGCTGTCCTCATCGGCTCAGGCTACACGTCCGTGACCGGCGAGTTCACCGTCCCTACCCCCAAGGTCCCAAGCGGTGGCTCTTCCAGCAAGCAGTACTGCGCCTCTGCCTGGGTCGGCATCGACGGTGACACCTGCAGCTCTGCCATCCTGCAAACAGGTGTCGACTTCTGCGTCCAGGGAAGCTCTGTCTCCTTCGACGCCTGGTACGAGTGGTACCCCGACTATGCGTACGATTTCAGTGGTATCTCCATCTCCGCTGGCGACAAGATCAAGGTCACTGTTGATGCGACCAGCAAAACCGCCGGCACGGCGACCGTTGAGAATGTGACCAAGGGCAAGTCGGTCACCCACACCTTCACTGGTGGTGTGGATGGCAACCTGTGCGAGTACAACGCCGAGTGGATCGTTGAGGACTTTGAGTCCAACGGTTCTCTGGTGCCGTTTGCTAACTTTGGCACCGTCACCTTCACCGGTGCTCAAGCCACCGATGGCGGTTCCACTGTTGGTCCTTCTGGTTCCACTCTTATGGATATCCAGCAGAACGGCAAGGTTTTGACTTCGGTCTCTTCTTCAAGCAGCTCTGTCACTGTTTCGTATGTCTAAGGGCTGTCGCTCTGAATGAGGCCAACACTCTGTGATAGTGATGAATGTAAATGTTCTGATGGAAGACGAGTCAGACGAACAAGGGGGGACGAGGGCAAAAAGCCTGTAGTGACTCAGTGAGCCTGAGGCAAACCTACTTAGTTTCTTCAATATATCAAATTTTCTCTCCTGCTTCATACCCATTGATCAGTAATGATACGGATAGGGAAATTCGACGATGCCTTCCTCCGAGCAGTTTTTCTCAGTCTGGCCGAGGTGCCTTACAGTGATGCTACCCCACCCGTTCTATCTCATCGAGCACGACATTGGCCATAATCAAATGACAGACCAATGGATTGCTTCAATCCATCTGAGGCCAATGAGATAGGACCAGTGTATCCAATATTGACAAAATTCAATGCAAGGCACTTTTGTTTAGGTTGTGAGGTATTGTTCCAGGACAATGTGATTTTATTGTAGAACATACCTCCCATGAAATGGTAAAAATTCCCTAATAATAAATATTAAGTATAAGAAGGATTCACACTCCCGCAACCTCCTTGTCTTTAGATGTATGGATTCTGGGACTGTTGTGTTGTGACGTGACTTTATAGGAGCCATGGATTGAGCCTGTTGAGTTAGGAGTCTGTACTTGAGATTTGTGTCTCATCCTCATCTCTTCTTGTGTTATTAAGAATGATCCGTCCGATAGATTCACAAACTATTAGCTGTTCCAACATGTGTATGATCAAGAGCATGATGTCTGCTATGTATGCGTCAGTGTAAATTAGGATACTTAGCTGTGTACATATTCGCTGCATTTAAGAGGACATAATTACTAATAATATCCACCACGAGATGGAGCCTGTGGAATAGAGCTCTGAAAACCTGATGTTCTACAGATTTGCATCAATGATGTCTGCACATCACACCACGTATCACAACTGCAATTCGATCGTAATCCCGTTAGGGTATCAACTTGGCCGTTGACGCTCCATTATTCATTCCTATCCATGAGTTCAGCAACATCGCGTGTTTGCGGTAGTTCTGAAGGGGGCCCGTTATGATTGCGCGTATATGGCGCGTGCTTGTCGTCTGACACTACTACGGTTTGCGGTACTTGTGTCCGCATTGCTCGTCTCGCTTTTCGTTCGAACAGCGCCCATGTCAGTGCCATCAACGCGATGACTCCCAGGGGAACTCCCACTCCAGCTCCAATCGCAGTATCATGACAAGATTGTGCCGCCGTATCCGAGGAAGAAGGTGCCGTTGTTGCTGGCGATGAGGAAACATTGCTCAAGAGAGCCACGCCGGTTAGTGCGTGCCCCGTTGCGATCTGGAAGCTGTCCATTCCTTCTGGACAGATGACATTCGTCCCATTTGTGATAGGAGTGCCGCAGCAATATGTCGCTATACCGTTTATGTAGGTGAGGTTAATGATGGAGCAGCCTCCGTCCCGATTGACGTCCTCTTGAGATGCCTCGATCAGAACTGGTTCCATCGTGTACTTGATGGGAGGTGTACCTACTGCAGTACCGTGGACATCCATTACCCCATTCTTTGTCTGTGCAACTCCCCCGAGACGCCACGTAGGGTTGATGGGCAACGTTCAGACAAATTCCGTTTGATAGGCATATATCCCCTGAGGTGCAACATCCAGTCGCCTCATCGGAGGAGCACGGGACATCACCAGATGGAGTACCGTTAGGAAAATAACATTGTCGTGTTGAATTTGCCATGATGGCTGGCCATTAAAAACGCTAATGGTTGAAGAAGATTGAGGTTGGATTGACTGAGAGGTGGGGGGTGAGTCTTTATTTTTCCTTGTTTCTCACCCCTGTCCGCTAGTACAGGAGACCAACGGCGCGCGAGGCTGAGACTGGCTGGTTGAGGCCATAACCCCTGCAGATTTGGTGGCTATAGCGGGCAACCACGGCGGTCATTTTAATTGATACCTACCACATCCAATCAGGTGCAATCAAGACCTGTTAGCGCTGGGGCTTTGTTAATAGCGTGTGACTGGCCTGGGACTGGCCACCATCCCATAAACATCATAGTGGGCCCTTGGTAATATTTCTCCTGTCGAGAATGAGTATTAAGCGCCGTGCACAGGGAATAGCTGTTTACGATAGAATGAGACCTTGTGCCATGTTCAATTAGACTATTGAGGCTTCAACCGTAAAGTATCACACCTTTTTGACTAAGGATTCATTCCCCATGGCTGGAGTAACTATAAATGTTATGCCTACGCTGGATAGAATCCCATATGCCTTGGGATTCATTCACACCGTTATCACTTTCCTACACTTCTTTATTGTTTACGTTCTCATACGGATTACCTACTAGCAGTTGACCCTGGACACTTATATGTTAACTCCATGCAATGGGAAAAATTTTCCCAGCGAGGTATTCGATGGCTTTAACCACATCTCGAAAACAAATCTGGAGGGTAATATGAAACCTCAGGCATGAATGACGACGATGTGATGCTGACACTTCAAATTTTCTTCCTCTACCATTTTGACTAACCTCATCTCAACTCTTCCTTGCAATACTTCAGAATTCTTGCGCTCTTTCATGGCCTTCAAAGCTCGTATCCGTTTCACAACCAGCACTGCCTAGGACAAAGTACCCGAAATGACGCAAATAAAGGAATTCACAACCAACACCGTGAACAGCCGCCTACAGACGGCAGCACAGGCACCAGTTCTCCATCTGTCGCCTGCAGAAGAGCTTCTGCGACAGCTACTCTTAGCCTGTTGTGACAGCATCGTCTCCAGCAAAAATGATGTGACGAATCTGGACATGTGGTTCGTCGGCGGGTGGGTTCGAGACAGACTTCTCGATCGTCAATCCTCAGATATTGATGTGGCACTGAGCTCCATGACTGGCATCCAGTTCGGCCACGCCCTCGAGAATTATCTCCAGAGAGAGAAACATAAATATATCGAGGAGGCAAGGCGCCGCAGAGTTCCCACCGTAATCTCAAAGCTGCACGAGATCAAAAGGAACTCGAAGAAATCCAAGCATCTAGAGACAGCAAGTTTCCATAGTATTTTCGGTCTCTCGGTGGATTTCGTGAATCTCAGAAAGGAAACTTACAGCGAGGATAGCAGGACCCCGCAAATGGAGTTTGGCACTCCGGCGGAGGATGCTCATCGCCGCGATGCTACAATCAACGCTCTGTTCTACAACCTCAAGACAGGAATAATCGAAGATCACACCGCGCTTGGACTGCACGACCTGGCTGCTGGTGTCATCAGAACGCCATCAAGCCCCTTCGAAGTCTTTGATGATGACCCCCTCAGAATCCTCCGATTAATCCGGATCGCGACTCAGCTTGGTTTTCGGGTTGAACGAGAGACCGTGCAAGCGATACGAAGTGCTGAGCGGCCGGAACAACTCTGCACGAAGGTCAGCCGTGAGCGGGTAGAAACAGAGCTCTTAAAGATTCTCAAATGCCCAAACACGCTTTCGGCTTTTCAATTGATCCATGAGCTCTATCTCTACAACGCAGTCTTTCTCCGCGGGTTGCCGTATAGTGAAGACGAGGACGCAAGCTGGGTTCTTCAGCAGTCGGGGCCGTATGGCCCCTGGCACACTGAATGGGCTCGCGCCTTTGAAACCGTGGCTTTCCTGTTGAGCGGGGGACCAAAGACACTCAGGAATATTTTGCTCCAGCACGAGAAAATGGACGACATCTGGATGCTGACTGCCTTTGTGCCAATTGAGTTTGCCTGGCTGGATGAACTTGCAAGGAGAGAAGTAAAAGTTCCCGGATTTGTGTCTCCGTCAATGAGAAATTGTCATCGCATCCAGCATTACATGGGCGAGGCTACTGCCGATGGGTCCTTTCCCAGAAAACTACCTCGAAGTGCTCTCGGACTGTTGATTAGATGCTGCGGCAGTACTTGGAGATTACAAGTACTATACGCGCTTTTGAAGGATGACGCCCGTGAAATGAGGTATGGCAATGCAAAGCTGGCCTTGATTACGCGATGGTCGAGGTTTGTGGAGCATATAATCGAGCAGAAGTTGGAGGACGCACCTTGTGTCAAGCCCATTCTCAACGGTTATGACTTGATAGAGTTATTCAAGCTCGAAAAGGGCGGGCCATTCATGCAAGAAGCATTAAATGACCTTTTGGAATGGCAGTTTAATCATGAGAATGCAACGGAGGAGGAAGCAATGGAGTGGATGCTTACACAGAGGGAGAAATACCACGTCTGATCATACTACAAGTACTTATAACCCGCATTGTCGCTTATCCTGAAATAATATTACGAAATTCTACTTTTGGCTGGGGTCGAAAATCAGTGAGTACCTGCTACCCTGATATATAACACTAAAATAGTCACAGATAACTATAGAGTAAAGGGAATGTATCTTACTAAGACGTTTAAACGTGGGCATAAACTTTAACCAGCGTTTTCATCAGCTTAGTGGCCTATGAGAGTGTAAAGTATAAAGATGCTAATAGTAACTATATCACCACCCAAAGGCTTCAGCATGCCACCAGACCTCTCTTCCTTTCCGTACATACCTGCCAATACTTTCCCGTAAAACCCTCCCCATCCCTAGTGGTCCACAGAAGAGCACAGCCACGCGCTCATCGGACACGCCGAGGACATCATCCACGATTTTGCCCAGGTCAGGGCGTCCAGTTTCTGCGGATGACCATACCACTGTTCTCTGCGGCGGCAACTCCTCCAACTCGACACTCTCATCCGGGGAAGGCTTTTGCCTGCGCATATGATAGGACTGAGTCAGGTGTAGTCCGACGTTCTCATCTTGCGTCAAGGACTGCCCATCTGCCAACCCCATCACCCACGCGGCTTCTTCCAGCGTCTTCATAGACCACACAAATGTAATCTTATCATGCCCCTTGCCCTCCGCTTCAACTTGCTCCTTCAGTTCACGGTAGACCGGCAAAGCAAAAGTCGCGCCAACTCCACCCGCCACAACAAGAATTCGATCACACTTCCTTCCTAGCTTTGCGAACCCTGGAATATTTCCAAAAGGTCCGTAGATTTCGACCAGACTTGGCTTCTCCGCCGAATCCGCCAGCACATCCAAGGCTCTGGACGTCGGACCATCTTGTACCCGCGCAACGAGGGTGATCTCATTGTTCTCCGACACATTAGCGACAGTAAATGGATTTCGGAGAAACATGTTCTGTATGAGCGAGGATTTCATCTTCATCGCTGTTTCTGCGCGTAATGATAAGAAGACGTGTTGGCCTGGGGCTGCTCGGAACCTTTGTACTTTCGATGCGGGAATAGGGATTTGCACGCTGACGAGGTTCGTTCGCGGGATCCGGGAGATGGTCGCATACGCGGTGATGGTATCTAGACGGTTGAGTAGGGCTAGAAGGCTAACAGCCAGAGTCTCAACGATGTACCAGCGCAAAGACTTTGCGTGCAAGGTGAGAAAGATCAGGAGGAGGGATGCAAGCACCGAGTGTGTGATGTAGAAAATCCGATAGTTGCGACAGCGTACGGCCTCAATGCTGGTGCTCATTATGGCAAGAAGGGACATGAATGATATGATGCCAACGATGATCTTGAGCGAGGTGAGGTGCTCTTGCAGCGTTGCCGTTTGGATAAAGTAGTTCAGGTACAATGACACATGAACGACGATGAGAAGGAATATCAGTCTGCCAGATATTCGGTGCCATGGTAGCAGTCTCTCGTATGATGTGTTGAAAATCAGTGCTAAAGGATTGTATCGAGATTTGACTGCAAGGACAAAATGTGTGGGTAGTTGAGCCACAGCCACTATGCCAAAGCGTTTTGTTACATGAAGATAGTCTAACCAGTGTTAGATTATTTGTAGAAGCATGGGTGAAATTGATGAAAATAGAACTCACCAGTTCCTGTCTGGTGAATGCACAAGGTTAGCAACCACAACGCCCATGCTGCCCCAAAAATCCACTGCCGCCTTGCACCCCAGCCGGGAGCGACTTCATCATCGAGCCACCAAAGGATCGACCGCCATCGTGTCACAAAATGCTTAGGCCTGAAAGTCCTCGACTCTGCTAGACGAGTAACTGCACTGTATCCGTCTCTCCGAGTGGAACGGTGATAGGCCCAATGCCCTAGCCGATACAGCCAAAAGCACAAAATCGGAATGAAGACGGACAGCTGAGAGTATAACCCGTATCGATCGAGAAGCTCTCGACGCTGCGACTTTTCGTCTGGGCTGAGTTTGACTATATGGTAAGGCCAACCCATGGCTGGGTGAGTCTTACGCGTCGCAGCGATGAGGAAAGATGGATTGATCATCCCTGTGGGGAATCGCCAAGTTATCAATCTGGATCCCCTTGCACCAAGCCCGGAGAATGGTAAAGCCGGTTGGATTGATCGAGATGATTGGCTGGACTCTCACTGCCTCCCTGAGCAATTCAAGCTCTGTACGTTGATTGGTCTGGCTAAAATTTGCAATTCCGGATCCACAGGAACCATAAAGTACGATCTGATAAGCTCTTCCAGAAGTATCAGACATGACTCTAGAGATAGAGATCTTACCCTGCTTACCACTTGGTATTATTTAGGTGGGTTATGATCTTTTAATCCAGGACATACTGAATTTATATTGATCTTTACGCACTGAAATGACCTGATGCACAACTGCGCCTTCCTTTAGCTTACGAAACCATAATCCAGTACGACCAGAGCAGCTGACTAGAATAGGATTATCGTAATAAAGCATAGAAATAGCAGCTACAGTACTCAAACCAAACGATGGTGAGTAAATAAGGCCGATCATTGGATTCAGGAATTATGAGCAGCAGTTAAAAAAAACAAGACACAATCTAAAAACTAATCACCACCATATGAAGTCAATATTCAGCATATCAACACCCAGATGTCTCGCTAAGATCTGTACCTGGTTTACCGCCATTGTCCAGCATCTTCGACTCCCTTCGCAACTCGGTTCGCCCCACCTTCAACGCCCGTCCCGACACTACCCAACGCATCCCCCACAGGCTTTCCTGCACTTCCCGTTGCACTTGTGATGGTGTCACCGATTCCTCGAGTGGCTGCACCAGTCACTCCACCAACAGTGCGAGAGACTCCGCCGACAGTATTTCCGAGGGTGGAGGTGACGAATTTCGCGGCGCCAGTGACGCCTGTGTCTTGGGAGGAGGAGAAGTTGTTGTTTGGCATGGTGATTTGCTTTGTAGTTGATTTGAGTTGTACTCTTATAGTAGAGTTGATAATAAGCAGGTGTCAAAGTAGTAGATAGTGAAGATAGGATATGTTTCTCTGGTAGTTGTTGTGGTGTCTCGATGTTGGAGAAGAGGAAGTTATATGTTGGTGAAGTACACTAATGACGTCATATCTTACATATCACAATGGTAGCAATGATGGATGTGGCGGTGTTGTTCATTTAATTGTTGGCCTTGAAGACGCGTATATTGCCTCAATATCAATCTATATCTCTATGTGAGTACTCAAGCTATGTACAGCTTTAAGTGAATGTGCAGGAATGAAGATTTCAAGATAGAAGAGCTGTTACAATAGATCCGTTGACCGTCGCTTTCTTGTCAGAGTTTAAGACTATGTGTAATTATGCCCAGTTTCATGCATAGCTTCAAAGATAGAGAGGTATAAGGCATACTATCGTATTCGTACATTACTAAGGAATACTTATGAAGCATCTAAAATAAACAGTAAATGAAGCATAGCAAGCAGGTACCCCGCACTTTCCATGTATCACCAAAATTGCCCAAGACGGCACATCCTCTATTTTTCCGCCAGTCACAACCTCGATCTCTAATCCACAAACATATGACATGACTATATATTATTGTAACCCTGCCATTCAGGACCATGTCCTTAAGACCAACATACATTGCCGACCAAAATGTCTCTCGAATCCCACACCCGGCAACTTGCACAATCTCTCGCGCAAGCCAGCGTCACCCCCGGCTTACTCCCCTTCCTAACCCCGGACTTCAAACCCACGACACAGCTCCACGTCTCCTTCAACAATAGACTGGTCTCCTTGGGGAATCTTTTCCGCGCAAGCGAATGCAAGACAGCTCCATCCGTATCCTTTTCCAAAGAGGTAGGGGTACTCCGCCAACAGAGTGATTCCCAGCCCACGCAATCTAACCCGGAATAACAGGAGAACAACCCACCCTCTTCCACAAGCTATACCCTCCTCCTAGTTGACCCCGACGCCCCCACTCCCGACGACCCCAAATTCGCCTTCTGGAGACACTGGGTCGTCTCGGGATTGAAGGCCGACGAGGCCAACGGGGCCACTGCATTGACGGAATATCTGGGACCTGGACCGAAAGATGAGTAAGTGGTTGTATTCAAGCTGATTTGAGATAAACGGATAAAGCTAATGGTGCAGTTCGCGCCCGCATCGGTATCTGTTCCTGCTATTCCGGGAACCGGAGGGTTTCGCGCTGACGAAGGAGGATGTTGGTGGGGAGGAGTTTACGGCGAGGCGGTCATTTAAGGTTGCGGAGTGGGTTGAAAGGCATGGGTTGGAGTTGGTCGGGGTGAATTGGATGTTGGGGGCTGGGGATGGGTGGACAGAGTGAGATTCGGTTATTGATTTCGATCGCTTGTTTACCGATAAGCATAGACAACAGGGCGATAGCTGAGTTAGTAGACTTTAATGTAGATTCATCTATTAGAAATACAATTTTTTGTCACTTCATAGGTATCACTTGACTAAAGTCACTATTATCATTAAATGAAGCGTAAATGCTGTTGAGCGCTATAGTCAACCCTGTCACCTTCTCCCAATCTAGCCTTCTTTCTGAACCCTTTAGTAGGTCAATCCCCAGCGAGGGGCATTGATGATGATGCCCATGAGACAGCCGGAAATTATTCCAGCGACAGGGAGGGTGATAACCCAGCCAAAGTAGATCCATGCAATCATGCGCCAGTTGATGGTTCTCCAAGTGCCATTGCACAGGCCCACACCGACTGTTGCACCAGAGATACATTGAGTGGTGGAGACGGGGAGCTCTGCAGACAGTTAGCATAATTATGCTCGCTAAAGGAGTAACCCCAGAATATCACATACTCAGTCTCGTGGCCAGGATGACGGTAATGGCAGAGCCCAGCTCCATGGAAAAACCGCGGGATGGGGAGTGCAGGGTGATTCTGTTACCCAGGTTGCGCATGATGTTGTAGCCGTAGGTCCACAGACCGATGACAATGGCAGCACCTCCAAACGCCCTAAGATCGATTAGGAATTTTACTAGGAATGCGAAAGGTGGATACCCACAGGATCCAGTACGGAACAGGACTCTTGGACTTGAGGTTATTGGTCGACCAGACATAGAAAATGGTGGCATACGGGCCAACAGCACTGGATCAGTCTCTCAGCAGGCGTACAAAACACGAGGAAGATGTGACGAAACATACTTGGAGACATCGTTGGCACCGTGAGTGAAAGACGCCGTAGAAGCAGTCATAACCTGGAGGAAGGAGTACATGTATTCGGCCTTGTTGTCATAATGCTGCGCATGGGCATGGACCATCTCCAAGTCACCTGTGAGAATGTTTCGCTTCTTTTGCAGACTGACAACATCTTGATCGATACCGCGGAAGAAGAAGCGACGGAACTGCCAGAAGAGGACGGCCGGGCTGAAGGCTCCTCCCTCGGGGCGGGGCCCGATGAGGGTAAACTTGGCCTCGTCGACCTCGGCAGAAGCAGCGACAACATGACCTTCCTTGTCTCCCTCGCGCACAGCAGGTTCGCTCTCCTCATCAGAAGGTCCAGCTCTCTCAATGTTAGCACGTTCGCGCTGCAGCTCCTCTAGGGTCTTGTGGCCCCTGTAGTAGTCCTGCACATTCTTGTAGCCCTCAGGTGCAGGGGGCACTTCGCCACGACGCAGCACAAGAGGACCCATGAAGAGATGGTACCACTTCAGCTGCCAGTCCTCCTTGATCAACCTCCTGTGCAGCCAAGGGAGAAAGAAGACGGCGACGATGAGCGCGACGGCAGCACCCACACCGATGATCACACCGGTAGTTTCCGAATCGGTGAGCGTGATCCTGCTGGAACCACCCTTCCACACGATAAGCACTGTGCCTGTCAGCATCGTCAAACAGCATGCTAAGGTACTGGGGACGTACTGGTGAGCAAAGCAGAGGTGATGCCAAAGTATATGGGAATGGAGATAAAAGCCTTCACAACCGAGTTCTTACGTTCCATGACTCCGTACTTGGTGAAGAGGAAGATAACAGCACCAAAGGCACCAGACAGGAGAGGCGCGATGATCCAGGCCAGGAAGACCTGGACGACACCCGAGTTGATGTCTCCTCCCCACCACTTAATCCCATCGGATCCCAAAGCGGCAATGCCCATACCGATCACACCACCCATGATCGAGTGAGTGGTTGAGACCGGCATACCGAAGCGGGTTGCAATTGTAAGGTAGATGGAGGAAGCCGTAACAGCACAGACCATACCCAGCATCAGCAGGGCAGGGTTCTCCTCGAAGGCCTTGACGTCGACGATCTTGGTTCTGATGGTATCTGCGACACGAGCACCTACACCAATACTATGGCGGAAGGGTTAGTATCCTCCAATTGACACCATCATAAATGTACTGGAACAAACATACCTTCCACTAAATTCCATGATAGAGGCAAGGACCATGGCTTGCCAGTACTTCAACGAGCGAGACGACACCGAGGTCGCCCAGGAGTTGGCGACGTCGTTGGCACCGATGTTCCAGGCATCGAGGAAGGCAAAGATAGTGCCCAGGGCAAACAGGTAATCGAACTGATGGAGGGCCATCTTGTCGGTGAAAGGATGGATATCCTATTTCTTGTTCTTACAACTTGCAAACAAGATCTTACCTATCCCTGATACTCCGCGGAGCGTGCATGGTACTTATATAGTAAGTACGGAATCAGCAACAGCCTTTCCAGAAACCCAAAAAAACGCCGAAGAGGCGTGCGAACTAGACCCAAGGCAGTCCAGATCCTTTCACTAAATTTCCAAATTGACCTGCACCTCGCAAAAATCTGCCTCGTTATGTCGTGAACCATGAGACCGCAGTCAGTTGACAGGCTCTCTCTGTGTCTCTCCGCTCCTTCCTGACTCTTGGCGGCCATTTGCCAAGACCTCCTCCAGCGCTCAGTCGGAAAGCTTGTATGGCCAATCACAAATCCACTGAATGGAACGTGGTCTGCGATCCAGCTTGCTCTGAGTTCAGTGCACTCTATTCCAAGAGTCTTGGCTACTTGGCAGTTCCGATGCTGGATGTTTATGGCGATGCTGCCAGGCGACAAGCCACTTGGGAACGCAGCACCCCGTTCGTACTTACGTGGGTTGACCGGCCACATGGCGCAGCGATACGACCATATGCCTCTGCGTTTCTCTAGAATGTCTTGGAAGTTGAACCTTGGGGGTTTGCCAGCTCTACACACCATTCAATTCATGAAACTCCATTAAAAGAGGAAGAAGGACTATTCAGTTGGAGCATTCAACCCCCTCCTCAGACCGAGGCTCCTCATTCACTGAGCTCCGCAACGTCTTCACCTCCTTCTCAAGACTCTGAATATACTCCACAGCCGTTTCAATCAGCTCAACCTGCAAGTAGAGCGGATGCAGTCAGCAACACCGCATAACCCCGGGCCTCAGCAGACAGTAACCCCATGGAAAGCAACCACTGCGGGAGTTCAAAGGACACGCACCTTCGTCCCAGACGGCCCCCTGGGGCCAGAACCAACGCCACCAGCGTGTAGCACCCGAGCCATCTGCTCTAGCGCCGCCTTTAACCGATCTCGCTGGTTCTTCTGCGAGATAGCGTGTCGTTTGCGTCTGGAATCGACCTGGCCCGATGCACCCTCGGGGAACGTGATCAATACACCCTCTGTAGAATATGGGTCAGTCCATTCTCCATGAATTGCCAAGCCCAAGGTCGGAATTGTCCGATCCTTCCTTGGTCAAATACTAACCTCCCTTTGGCCGGAGCTCAATGAACCGAGGTGGAGGCCTTGCGGCTGTGCTCGAATAGGAGGATGGAGGGCTCGGCGACATGGTGTGCTGGTGGCCGAATGGCTGGATTCTGTGGTGTCTCGTGCTGTTCCCTCCCTGGTGTCCGGGACGGTATATATATTTGATCTGAGGTTTGCTAGAGGAGCAATAACTCCGCTTGCTAAGGACTGTCATATTGAGTGATGCCGTAGATGTAGACTTAGCATGGAATGACATGCATGTCTGTGCTGGCTCCCTCTGGCAGGGAATGAGGTTATTGTCGTAATTAGCCTCTGCCTATCGAGAGCTGGCTATTCTGCCGCTGAACGGGACTTGGACCTTCGTGCCTGGAGGACGTCGTTAGCTTCTCCATTGAGACCTCAAACACTATCTCACCTTTGTTGTTTATGGTGTTCTGACCAACCTACCTTGTCCATTGCTGTATACAATCTATAAGGTCAAAATGTGACTTCTCATGAGTCCAAGAACTGTCGTTATTAGGCTCTTTAATAGTCATACATTTTCATCCCCGACGGCTGTATGAGAGTCTCTATGTTTGTTCTAATTTTATGCAGTTTTCATTGGTGAAGGTTCGTCCTTAGACTGAGCTACAGGTCAAGCAGGGCACACGCTTTTAGACTCTGCAGGCGTTGTAATATACTAGTTATTACTACGTGTAATCGCTCTAGATAGAATTTTGCCATATCTGTCTATTTGCACTATACGGCAATGAATAACCATATCATTGCAAGCAGCCAAAAGAGAACGAGGCGATCCGCCTACGATCCCTGAATCAAATGCTCCAGCTTCCGTAGCAGACCCTCCGGTTCAGCCACCCCCTCCGCCGCGATCTGGTCCGCACGCTCCTGCGTGTCCGCCACGGCATAGATTCGAAGTTCATCCGCATTCCCCGAAGGACGGAAATGAGCGACATCTCCGTTCTGGAAAATGACCCGAACCCCATCCGTATAATCTATACGGGAGATCGAAGAAAACCCATGTCGAACAGAGAAAATCCCTTCGAGCTCTTGACGAATCCGACGGGATTGCTCTTCCGCATTCTGCGCTTCACCCTCACGCAGTGAGAAGCGGTCGATGATCTTCATGCTCGTGGCACGAGGGAAGTTCCGGATCAACGCAGCACGGCTGAACCGTTTGGGCAGGGTTGTGAAGAGCGCAGGCAGGGCCATGTGCCGGCTTTGCGCTGCAAACAGGGCACAGAGGAGAGGGAGCACCGCATCGCGCGTCGGGAGCGCAGTAAGCACCTTGCTGTCGCGTTCGATGTCAGAGCCCGTCAGAAAGCCGCCGTTGGCTTCCCATCCGCAGACGCGATGGCGGCCTTTTGCCACGGCACTCTGCATCCCGGCGATCACGTACGGACTGCCGATCTTTGTTTTCGGTTCGAGAACGCCGGCCAGCGGGCCGCGGTCGATGGCGTCGTTGGTGCTGATTGGGACCACGACGGAGTCAGCTTGCAGGAAGTCCGCGACGATCATGCCTAGCAGGTCGCCGCCGAAGAAGCGGAGTCTAGCGCTCTCCGGGGCGAGGAGGAGCGGGCGATCGCTGTCTCCATCTGTCGAGACGACCGCGTTGAATGTCTGTCCCGTGCTATCGTACAGACTCTGGACGGTGTTGAGTTGCGCCTCGTCGATGGCTTCGGTGTCTATGGGGACAAAGGTCTCGCTGCGGCCGGCTGGAGTGGCCTCGGCACCAAGCTTCTCCAGAATCTCAACCAGAACGTCGCGACCGACGGCAGAATGCTGATACACGAGAATCTTCATGCCCTTGAGCGATTCACCTCGAAAGAAATCCAGGTAGCGCTGGATATAGGCAGCTCTACCCTCGGGCGCAACAGGAGGAAGGTCTGATGGGGAATCGCGAAGCATGCCTTGGTCATTGAACAGAGAATCGGCAAAGGGCTGAGAGAGAAGCTCTTCGCGCACAACATCAACCACATTGTTGATTGGCTGTTCGTCCTTTTTGAGGAGTTCTCCTTTGGAGGTATTGAGCTTGTAGCCGTTACGATCAAACGGGATGTGGCTCCCCGTTACCATGATGCTTCCCTTGGCCTTTTGAAGGGCAAAATAGGTGAGCGCAGGCGTAGGAATAGCCCCAAGATTGATAGGATGCATGCCTCCGTCTTTCAAGGCTTGCACGACCGCTTGACAAAGACCACCGCGGTTGTTCTCTACATAGCCAGTGGAGCTGGGTCGGAGGTCGTGTGCGAAATAGAAGTCATCGCCTTTGCGGATGCCTCCTTCTGAGAGCTGCAATGACTGCAAATAGCGAATCTCTGCCAGGACATTTGTGTAGATCTCCAGCTGCGTCAAGTCAACCACTTTGCCCCTCCGACCACTAGTGCCGAATTTGAGGGGCTGCGGTTTATATGCCAGGTGGAAGCGCAGGGCGTCGGATGGGGAAGCAGTCGACATTCTAGATAGCGATAGCGCTTGGGTGTAGTATTATAGAGAGATCTGGCAGATAGGCTAAGGATGCTTTGATCAATTTGTGTTGACAAACAAAGGGTGTAATGGTCGGTGAGCAGAACATAAGAACAGTTCATGCCAAGCTGTCGCCGCAGCTCAGTATTCTGCCTGAGGCAGCAATCAGACATGGTGTGTTGCCCCAGGCATCACTACGCAGGCGAATTGCGTCTGTCGCGTAGTACCATTGCTGCGATACTGGTCACAAGTAAATAGGGAGGATGAGATAAGTCGAGGTCCAAATGAGATGAGAAAGAGAATCTATTCAGTTATAATAATCGCTGCTTATGCTAATAACTCAACACCTAGGAATCATGCGAACAGGAGTATCAAACAATAATATGTACAGTGGTAAGGTATGGAAAACAGGAGTTCAGACCACACCATCTAGGAGAAGTCGAATTGCTCTGGCGATGCCGGCGCCGCCCTGCTTTTCTGCAATAGAGAAATGGAAAAAATGCATCAATCATTCAAAGACCTCCTCACAGCTTCTGGCCCTTGTTGTGGCGCTCGAAGGACGAAACAGGGGGCGCAGAGTTGGGGTTGGGGTGGTGCTTCTTCAGGGCCATCTTGACATTGTACTCGAGGTCGAGCTGGGCCTTGGGGTCGTCGGTCTTGGGTTTGAAATCAACGACAAGGTCATCCTTGACGGCGAAAACTGAGTCGATGTCGAGATGCGGGTCGTCGCTGGGATAGATCTGGTTGATAATGGTGGCGTAGTCGGGGTGGGTAATCATGAGGTGAATGTGGGCGGGGCGCATGGGAGAGCGATCCATGAGATTGAGGAGCACACCCGCCGGACCGTCGGTGGGCAGAGAGTAAGGAGTAGGGTGGTAGCAGTACCAGTAGAACTCGCCCTTTTCGTTCGATCTGAACTTGCCGCGGAGGTTGTTCTCGCTCTGGTTGGGATCTTGGAAGTCGTACTGTCCGTTGGCGGAGGCTTGCCAGATGTCGAGGACAGCGCCGACGACGGGCTTTCCGGTCTCCATGTCTGTCAGGACACCGTGCATGAAGGTGACCCTGCCGTTGGGGTTGGGGTCCTGGATGATGCTGTCGCCGAGATTGCGGAAGGGAGCGTTGGGCGACCAGAAGGGGCCGAGAATGACGTTGGAGGTGGGAGTCAGACCCTCGTCAGTGACGATCTTGTTGGCGATCTCATCGACAAGGCTGATCGACTCAGTCAGCATTGCTCTTTGAAATTTTAATTGTTGCATCGCTGTACTTACGATTCAAGGCCGATAACATCGCAAATGCGGTGGCACTCATTGCGTACAGGAGTGCTGATCTTGCCGATAGAGTTGATGAACTCGACACCGAGCATCCACTCGGCGGGTGTTAACTCGACCTCACGAGCAAAGTCGTGGATGTGCTTGATCAGAGATCCCAAGACGACGCGGGCGCGCTCGGGGGTCCTAGGTCCCATAGAGTTGATGACATAGGGTGTGAAGTTGGGGTCGAATTGGCGCTTAGGCGACATTGTGTATTTGTATGTATGAAGATAGGTCGAAATGCCTGTACAGGACTAGAGAAGTTGCACGGAAGGAGTAAATTATCAATGGAGGATGATTGCTGGAGAGATTAAAGAAAGGCATCAATGCTCTTATAAACATTTTAATCGGCATGGTGAGTCTGGATACTGAGGGAGGTCAGATGGCGACGGCAAATACGGTCGGCTCCTAGCCCATGGGTGTGTGAGGGGCCCCGCCTTGCGCCGGGGTCAGATAAATACCAGACACGGTAGCTACATGCCGAGAAATTCACGAACAAGTTTCCATTGCATGACTCCGCCATTCTGGCAACGGTCAAGTCTAAGAACCGACCGGCGGCCACCAGCAGATCCTAAGAATTGATCAGCCGGGTCAACTGGGACGTTTGGCAGATATGCATTTCCGTACATACCTCACTGGCCTAAGACGGCAGGCAGACACACGGCTCCCCGCGTCGGCGATCGGTTAGGCAAGGCCAGCGGGGGGCGATGCCTGTTAATCAGCTTACTAACATCAACTCAGCTGGGAACGCGGATATTCAATAAGAGCCGCGCTGTGGTGCCGGAGTAGTTCTTACCCGCGGGCAAAAAAATCAAGAGGCACAACTCCACGTGACTCCATCTTGGCAAATCATGCTTTCAATTCCTATTGCGCCATTGGTTCATAACAGTTAATATCATGTGATTTTCCTGTTTTCCTGCTGAGGGCCGGCACAAATGTCTCGTTGCACTTATCCTTTCACATGACTCTAATAGTATCTTAGGAAAGTTGCGCTCACTGGGAGATAGCGTTTCGACTGGGTATACAATGGTCATGTGGAAAAGCCTACTTTCAGGTCTCTTGCTTTCATCATGCTCGATCCTAGTGCTCTAATCAATACCAAATCCAATGCTAGGGTCCTTACTCCTTATTTCTTCTTATTCAAGGCTCAAATGAATGCCAAGGCCATGCTTCAGTTCAGCCAGCAGAGCCATTGATTGGGTACCAAAGCTATAGGCCTCGACTCCATAACAACTCCCTGCCCATATCCAAGTTGAGTAGCGCATTCAGTACTGCTTGAGTTCATGATTTCTTGCACAATCTCTTTTGCGTATGAGCAGGTGTGCTGGTGTGGTAAGCCAGGTGCAATAGACTCATGTGACATGGATGCCATTGTGGTCAGTGTGGGGTACATATGTTGCCCTAAACTACTGATCATCCATGCTGTTTCTATCAACCGGTGAACTAGATCTTTAAGTCTCATGGTTACTGGCGTAAAAGGGCTTGAAAATTGCGAGGTGAAATGCCACCATGTCCATGACATCGTCCGCGGTCAAACCTGACAGTATCGAGTACTGGGACAAAGTGCGCTTTTCCTGATATAATTCAAGAAACCCATTGACTTTCTCTTCGATCTTGAAGAGTGTGCCGGCCCGGACTCGTAGACGGCGATGGCATCCATAGTGATAATACACAAAGCTTTCCTGTTAGGTGCGCTTCTACCGTATGTACCGTGTCTGGAACAATTTGGAGTGATTTAATCAGAGCTGCTGCCAGTGGTAGAACTGAGTCTAGCAGGATGTTCACCATGAATGAGTTACTTGTCGAACTTTGAAGAGCGTCTTTGTTATCTTGAATCTTGAATATTATATATATATCTTTTAAATAATCACCATATCATTGAAAAATCAGTGTTGAGGAGTGGAACAACAGATTGCGATGAAGCAAGAGACACTGCAGGATTGATGATGGATTGATGACTGGTAGACAGTGTACAAGGCTGTCGTTTTACACAATTACAGTGTGATCGCATGCACTGGCTGGACAACCACACCACTAGGTATGTGTGATAACGTGGGAGCCAATTTAGATAAGAATTAACTGAGAAAGCTTTCAAATGACGTTATTCTCCATTGATTAAGCTAAAGAATAAGAATCAGTTCAAGAAGCGCCCAAGGCTTTATGCCGATACATCAAGAGACGACCGTGGTACCTCAGTTGCGGCCGGCCGAATAGTGACATAAATAGTTGTCAGCCGTACCAGATGTCTTGGTGGAGCTTGTCTGACCTGCCTTTAGATGATACTGCCGAGAGTCAGGCAGAGTGTACTTATGGAAGCTTGCAGCAATCAAGAAGCATTCTGCTGCGGGTGGTCCCGCTCGCATACTTCGACCGTGGTTCGTGCGGACAGAGTCTGGTTGCTTATGGCTTGACTGTCATTTAGACGTATCATATACCAGGAATCAAGAAGTGGCTGGTTATTTATAGGGGGACTTATAAATGGCTGACTCTTCTGCGTACAGTGGACCGACTTCCTGTTCCGCGGCAATATTGCAGAACTCACTTCCATCGAGCTTGTTCACTACCTACTATTCCTATTACGCTAGAGATCGTGTCTAGAAGCCTTCTAGTCGAGTGATTATATGGTTGACAGAGCCATGGCATAGCCAATTGATAACCGCCTGCATGATGCAGGCGATACGCCTCGGAGTATGCCTGGTATTGCGGCGCAGCGTCTGCCGCAGTTCTTACATCACATAAGGCTATAGAAGAGGCGTAGATAAATAGGCATCCATTCCACTCTTTTTTCCATATTCTCTTGCTCATCTTCCATCTTCTGTGCCCTACTTCTCTGTTCAACACTCACCATTCTATCCACATCTTTAATACACCATTACATTTTCATTCATCAACCATGACCATGTCTCACATGTCGCTTGATGAAAGGGCTGAGTCCGTTGAGGATATTATCCATTACGACTTCACCAATCGCGCAATTCTCTATGAAGCTCTCCATAGTGCCGGCGCGCTTGCCAAGACCGGACGAGCATATCGCTCCGATGGCAATAAGGACCTGGCACAAATCGGCGATGCGGTCCTGCAGCTGATTCTCGTGATGGACGGCTACGAAGCCAAAGCCAGTCGAGGTTAGCTGTCCCTCATAAATGTTCTTGAGATAGACCCTAATCGAATCACCAGGCTACATCAACCAGATTGTCTCGTCGGTGGCCAGCAACCCCCATCTCGCACAGATGGGCTCCAAAGCTGGACTGGAGAATCTCATTCTCATCAATCCGTCTCAGGCCAGCGTGTCCCCCGGAGTGATGGCTCAAACCGTCGAGGCAATCCTTGGCGCCGTCTATCTCGATAGCGAAATGGACGTCCAGGCCGTCCGAGCTGTCATGGCTGTCTTGAGCCTGGGATGGCCAGTGTGAATTTATCTCTGCGCGTGAACAAAGCGAATACGAGTTTACGTGACTCGATATCTGTTACTTACCGCAAAGGCGTCCAAGGGCCTCCTCGCCCAGGGCCGGCATCGGATCGCCCGATGGCGTGGACAGCTTTCCAGGACCAGACCAAATACTTTCCAAGGAGGGTTTGGGGTCCTTGTCAGCTGTCCATGCACGTTGTAATCCGCTGCTGGCCCTGTACGATGGGGCCTTCGGGTGCCCTTGCGGTCCTGGAACGTCTGAGAGCCATGAA